CCTGCTATCTAGAACACCGCAGACAGAAGAAAAATCAGGATGTTCACAGTTTCCTCTCAGCAGAGAACCTTGACCAACAGATCTAGAGGTGGGGTGCTATCAGCCAAGTTGGATTTTTCCATCCAATAAAATACTATTGTACGGAGATAACCCCAAGATCAGGGGTGTCTGCTGACAGCATAACATGCACGTTTGCTGCTTAGGACCATGTGTGCCTATGTAGTCATTTGCTGCAAGAATTCTAGGTTGCCAACTGGAATTTGGATGCCCGCCTAGCAGCCATCTAATGTCTACTGTCAGCTTTATTACACATTTTACCCTGATAGTGGTGGGTATCATCTATAAACTGGGAATTACCAATTTAGGAGGAAAACAAATATAAGAAAGTTGGCCATAGACATTCGTAAATTCCAGAATCCATCTTTAATGGCTTTTAGGACAGCTTGCATGCTAAACAGGAGCACCATAGTATAGTAGCCCAAGTGTTACAGTTTAGGGAGAGAGAGAGGGACCATATGCAGTGATCAGACAAGGTTCTCCAACTTGCCCCACAAGAACATTTATACAGAGATGTTGAGCATCATAAGACATTAGATTGTCACCCTATCCAGCTGAAAACTACAAAAATAAGTAGATGGTCATCTAATGTCTATGGGTACGTATGCATGCTAACTCCACAGTGTAAATGAAGGCAGTACATGAAGACAAAAACAAAAGTTATGTGATCTGTTATACGGTATACATTTTATCTACCCTCCCGCCATTGGGATTCAAACAGCTCTACGTTTGCTTAGAAAAGTGCGATAGAACCTGAAGACCGTTATCCAAAGAAAAGGCATTGGTGACCGCATCACGAGTTTACATTATCACAATCTATTTTTTGTAGTTTGTCATTTTTAAATAACAGAAAAGGCAACATGACCTTGCATATTATAGTACACACACACGCACACACAGCATGATAACCCACAATTATTCCACAAGTGTTAAAAACTAATCACCATCTTCCTTAATCACTGTCCCTAGAAATACAATTTGTATTAAAATAGCATACAATGCACATCAGCCCCTACACGTGGGGCTGGTGTGTAAAAACGTAGCCAAAAGGAAATCCAAAGAAAAGCAGCCATCTAGAGAAACCAGATTTTATGTTATATTTAGCTAGTGATAGAAAGATAAAACCTGACTGGTGGCTATGGGCATCAGTTTCAATGTCCCCTCCCCTTGTAATATGGTAGCCCCATCGTGGCTAAAGAAAATCCTGCTTAGTCACCACTTCATTACTGAACAGCAGAAATTACTTCTAGTGATGAAATCCTACCTTTGTCCTGCCGTTATCACTATACATACAACTGTACACAGAGGACCACAGGCCTTATCTTCCACATGATGCGGAGGATCGGACTGTGGGGACAATGCTGAAGCACGATGTAATATATAGAAAATGTAAGACATCTAGTATGTTTCATCACAAACTAAAATTAGGCTTTGAAAAGCACTAATCCTAATACATTCAAGCACAGCCTTCTAGAAAAGGTAGCTACAGTCGTGATGAGGGAGACCGATGAAGGAGATGGCCTGTTCATTTTCTATTGAAGGCTGCACTTAAATAAATGAGGCATAATCATTTTTAATGGCAATATTATTTGCCTGCTGTATTTTTTTAACTCTAGCTTGTCTAGGCTTCACTTTGGTAAATAGCCTTTTGATGTTCTTACAATCAATACTGGAGCTAACCTGGTGCTTGTTATCAGTTGCACTGCATCACCATTTCTTGGTTGCAATCTCGAATTTTGTCTAAAAGCCCCAAATGTCCAAGATAGCCCCTTTATGGCTAATGCCAGTTCCTCTGCTCCTTTAGCCTATGCCTTTTCAACAAAATATCAAATGTAATCAGGCTATTAAAGAAACCTGTACTTAGCCAGAGAACTGGTGTTCTCATCATTTCTGTCATTTTGATCTTGTTGCTTCAGTGCTTTTCACTGACCTGGAACAAATAAAGTATGCAGATCATGAGCTCCAATTTAACGTTGATTTTCTTGATCTACAGCGCCTCATAATACTGGAAGTATGATGCTTTCTATTCATCCCTACCCTCATTATTGGTACCTCATCAACTCTCTGACAAAACAATTTGAAGGAGCACGTTAGAATTTCCTTCAATCAAGTAACATTTTCCAACAGTGAATGTGGTTTTCATTCTGGAAACTCCATTCATTCCAAAATCAAAAACAACAGCAATCGCCAAGCCTCTGATGGTATTATGGAATGTTCTGGCGGGATTTTTCGTATGAACGCGTGTGCACATACACACCCATGCATACCCTACTTTAGTCTAATAACACACTAACACAGAAGATATGGTGAGGCACCTTTGGTTCTTTCTATTCATTACTATCCTTAAGCTAGCCATACACAGCTGAAATTTAAGCCGATTCCCGCTGAATAGACTAAAATTTGCATCATGAATGACCCTCTTGGTACCACCCGGCTTGACAACCTATCAGACGCAGTGACTGTTTGGTCATTTAGGCCACCAGGGGTGCTACAGCTGCCTAAATACAATGGTCGGTAGCAGATATTTCTCTATCCATGCTGCAAAGCATGGACTGATTGTCTCTCATTCAGCACACATGTACAAATAGCCTTTTGCTTTGAATTTTAACGATCCACTACAGATTTACCGTAACATCTATTTAAATGTAGCTACAGCAAAGAAGGATTAGTAGAATTTCTAAAGCAACTTACAAAAGGAGAAGGGAGGGAAACAAAAAATTACACCACAACTGCTGCAGCTGGTAAGTAAATGATGCCAGACCATGATAATGACAGGATCAGTAAAACTTAACCACTGGTTTCAAAGTTCCCTTTAATATTGGACCAGCTATGCTGACATTGTCCAGAAAGCTGGAAAACCACTAGCACTTAGAATGCTGAAAAAGTAATCAAGACCTATATAACCTTATCTTCACCAGGGTGCCACAGTGGACTGCCATGTCTGAGAGTATTACTACTACAAGTATTTATATGGCACCATCAAGTTATGCACTGTACATAGTATACATTCACATCAGTTGTTGCCCCCAAGCAGTTTGCTATCTAAGGTCCCCCATCTTACACACATAATATGGCCAATTTAAATTAGAGCCAATTAACCTATCAACACATCTATGGCGTGTGAGAGGAAACTGGAATACCCAGAGGATGCCCAAGCAAGCACAGGTTGAACATGTCAACTCCATGCAGATAGTGTCCTGGCCCGGGATTAAAATTGAGGGCTCCAATGCTGCAAGGCAGAAGTGCCAACCATAAAGCAACTAAATCGCTGCGCAAACTGCTGGCGCTATATAAATCCTGTATAATAATAATAAAACTGCGACACATATGCGTCATCAGCCATTTTAGGGCTTGTGTTGACAGGTCTTTGTTTGCATTAGACGGATTTTGCATTCCCTTACAAATATATAGGAATACAAATCCTGCTTGAAGCAGGTCAGATGCATCTTTTAATTAGAGCGACTGGATATGGTTTATTTATGGGTACAAAATTTCCCCCAAATACCTTTATCTTCAGAATCCTAAATTCCAATACTCCAAAAATGTCTTGCATGTGTAAATGTTGCTGTTTTTTTGTTGTTTTTGTTACTATAAAACAATTGTTAACGTTGTTTTACTAAATATCAAAAGGAAAAATGAAATTCCAGTTTAGATCAAATAAAATAAAACCACACACACACACACACACACACACACACTATATATGTATATTTACACATACACACGCACTGGCCTCCCCACCAAAGTAGGGTATACACGGTTAGAATTCCATACAAAAGAAGTAGTTTTGGGAACATTTCTTCGAATATCTATCAATTAGTGTGGTGAAATCAACAGATGAAAAAGACAATGTTCCCGAAAATTTTCAAAGGATCATGTTGCAAAATGTGTCTCAATCGAATGCATTTCTAACAGTGAATGTGGCTTGCATTCGGGAAACTCCATTCATTCCAAAATAGAATGTTAAAAAAACCATGACAATTAAAAGAAATTTCGAACGACAATGGGGACGTTTCTGATGCCATTATGGAAGGCTCCAACATGATTTTTTCCATACGAACGTCCGTTTGAAAAACTACCCGTGTATACCCTACTTAAAGATCCAGCATTCTCTTCTTTGTAACCATGGCAAGAATACAAGATTTGTAGGCAGCATTAAAGATCTTTACTCCTTAATTTGTATGAATGATTGCTCTTCCCAGAATCCTGCAGAGCCTAAAAATGAAAGGCCTCCTCTACAATGTCTTGCAGTAAATTTCATCTTTGGTAAGATAATTGCAAAGAGCACCATCTATCTAACGGAATGTCATGGGGAGGGGGGAGTGACACACTTTCTCTTATTAGAGCCGTGGTACTGGTGATTCTAGAAGCAGACCCTCCAACTAAGAACTGACACAGCTTACCTCAATATCTACAGGACAAGCAAAGGTAAAGTCATGCAATAAAGGTTTGGAAATTCTTTAGTGTGTGTAAAGTTGACCTGCAGGGAATATTGTTTCTCAACAAAACTTGACTTTCCGGTTTTTGTATAAAATATAGCCAGTGTAAATCTGGTTCACAGCAGACTGTGGAGACTCCAAGTAATTCTAGTTTATATATTTTTTTTAACCATTCTGTACCCAAAGAGCAGCTGATCAAGTGAACTGCGTTGTGGGAACTTTGCAGCTAGTCCGTTAATAGAATTTGGGTGTGCACAGACTACTTTAAGGTGTCACCATTACAAAGTATTATGAAATGTTTGTGCCTTAACAAATGTTCAATCTTTTTTACCATCTTACAAAAGGAACAACATTAAAAACAAAAAAAAAACAACTGTTTCCTTGACTTTATATTAGTGTCCAGCGCTGTTCCTCCAGTGCACAATGGGGAGGAGTATCCAGGCATCACACTAATTCTGTGCAAGTTCTGATCTCAAAAAACATTGATTTTTTTTTTTTTTCTGGGGGGGTTCATTATGGAGAGCTTCTTCACGATCCTATAGAACACTACTTGCATGCATCTGCGGAGATCTGCTTTACTGCAGAAAAGGACATTTTACGTTGGATTTCCACAATGCAGAAACAGATGGTAGGAACAGCTGTCATAAAATGTAGGAAACATACATTCAGTTGTTATTATCCTCATGTGCCCGTCTCACCAACTTAACCCAACAGGCTGAAAGGCCAATGGAAATTCACGATTCTTCAGCCTGGCATCAAAATTCACATTATCAACGACACAATAACAGAGCACAACTGTGGGAGATTACATTACAGGAATAATAATGCCACAGACTCTTAGCTCAAGCCAGGCCACATTGGGGGATTATGATGGTGTACTACAAAGCATTACTCTGCTGGGCGTATTTAAAAATAAAAATGGCAATGGGTTTTGTTCAAGCAGAAGACGACTGACTTGTTGAGAGAGCAATGCCATGCTTTGTTGTGAACGGTGCAAAATAAATAATCATAATAAAAATTAATTATAATCTCTGATTCACGATTGTTCAAAATAATCCAAAGGATTCCTTAAAATCCTCTCCCAAATATCTTCTTCCTCTACGTCAGTGTGGGCAGAAGGTCCTGTCCATGGTCACTGTGGTTGATAAAATGCTGACAGAGAAGGTACTGTAAGATTCAATAGCCCTACAAACAGCATGCTATAGTTCAAGGGGCAAGTTTTCGCGAGAGACAAGTAGACATTTTCAGGCACCAACCAGATGGGGCAATGTAGCGCATATGTGGAAACTACACCAGCTGGTAACCTGAGCCTGATGTTTGGTCATACTCTATTGTGTACTGCCTTGTCCAGTCCACAGCAACAGGGCGGAAGAGGCCACAGCATCTGAACTCAAAGAAGTCTATGATATTTCTGATACATCCATGGCTGCAACATAAAAGTGCACAGAATTAGAAACTAAACACTGTAAAGAGCTGCTGTAGTATACAAAATACTATCTCATTTGGCATCTTGTCTACCAATTTTTAACACATTGAAAAAAGTTAACCACATTTATCTATAAACTGTTGTATTGTACGGTATTATAATTACTGACATACACTTAGGAAAAAGCAACCCACTGGTCAGAATACAAGTTACCTATAAGTAGAAGGAATCTTCACCCAACATATTTGGATGAAGGAGGCATGGCATCATAGGACTTCCTACAACACCCCTGTTCCACCTATATGCTGAGACAAACTGCAATGACATGTACTTCTGGTACTACAGGTGTAGCCGGCGTCAGGCAGTCATCATTAAACCTATGTGCAGGCTCAGTGCACCACAGACATTTCGGCCAACTGAGCATAAATCTAGTCTTGCGAGGCAAGATCATTTTGTATTAGCCAACCACAATTTGAAGTCTAAGGCCAGCCGTCAGAACGATACAAACTCGTCCCTGTATAGCCCACCTGCTTGTCTGAACAGCTCTAGCACAGTTTAGCTTCCTTGCATGGGTTACTAGAGGCTGCTTTGCCTGCACAAACTGGGATAAGCAAGTTTCAGGAACTAGGGCATTGACGTGAAAAGCCCCTTCTACGATGTTCTGTCCTAAAGGACATTACTTAAACCATCAGGATGTTTATATAAGTGTTCAATGATTTCCCTTGCAACGTGTGTTCCTGCTAGCACCTACTTGACAGCCAAGGTCGCAGTCTGCTAGCAGCAGCCAGCCAAAATGGCTCCTACAAATAAATTATCACAGAACAGCCATCTGCATTGCTCATTCAATGTAATGTTGGGAAACTGATACAAAGTTACAGGGCTGCAGCTCAGTTGGGGCACATCACAGGCATTGTTCTGCGATCTCATCCTGACCATTGTTATAGCAACCTGGAAAGTGATATTTTTTTTGAATGAACCCATTTTTAACATCAACCTCCCTATTCCTGCCTTAGCTATTATTTTGTCTGTGCCGTTTTTATACAGCTTGCACATTTCACAAGCTACCTCTCTATTAGAGAGATATCAACATCTGTACATACAGTACTACATTTTCATTAAAAGGCGGTTTTCCGCTACTGCACCGATATAATACAAACCAATATATATATTTCCTTTAAAAGCTAAACTCCAGGCATAAATAAAAGCATAATTTAATGCAAATATGTCTTCGACAAACAAAAAAAAAATTCATGAAATGAATTATTATATGTACTGAATCATTATTGATAGAAGTCTCCTGTACAGCAGCCCCAAGGCTAGAAAAGAGACAACCAATACTTTGAACCAATTGGGTTTAGCTGCGAGCAATGTTGTGATCAGAAAAATGCTGGGAGTAAAGAGACGGGACTGATGTGCTGCCGCCGATCATTTGTTGCCCAATTGCAGGTTGGGAGCAGGGATTAAAATTCTTCGATAGGTAAAACAGATCAGTATTTCAAATGCATATTTAAACATTTGCCTGGAGTTCAGCTTTAATGGATAAGTCCCAACTGCACAAACTGGGATACAGAAATTATCTAGTGACAGATCATGCGTTTCCTTTTCCTGTGATTATGCCGAGAACAAAAGGCAAATATCTTACTTGAAAGGGCTTTCGATGGATGTGGTTGTGACTTTGAAGTGTTTATATCTCCTGGCGTTCATCCGTTCGTTTGTTGTAATGCCTAAGCAAGATATCTGCAGAAGGGACCAAAATACCTTTAAGCTCTATACAGTCGTAGCATATTCCAACAGCAATCATATAATACACAGCAGCTCTGACTTCTTTTAACAACCTTCACTCTGTTAATGCTAGACTCCTTACGTGGATGACCTCATCATCTGACGTCATAATGCCTGTAGCAGTTGGCCGGGACTGGATTTATTTTACCATTGGACAGGTGTCATATTTTTGGGTAGAACTGGTATTTAAACATATGTCACAGAATGGACTCCAGTAGCATATTTAGTTTATAAGGGTAAATCGCTATTTGGATAAGTCTCCATGGAGGCTTACCAGGACTATTATATTAAATAAGTATTCCACGAACAATGATATTTATTGAAATATAAATCTCTCTAAAGAGAACAAACAGAAACTAAGAATAGGGAAATGTATTAAAACTATACAGCAACCTATTATAAAAAAGTGTTAACTTAATTAGAGCAAGAGACTCACAAAAGTGTATATTACCTGGTACATCTGACACATCAGTAACACAGCCACCCACATTAAATGAAACACACTGTTAAGGAACATCCAGAACATCCATGGGGAGCAGGTAGCAATTTGGGTAACATATGTCCAGAAGCCGTCCTTGCTGTACGTTGTTTCACAGTGTATTCCCCAATCTAAGGAAACAAGACATGCTGTAAATCATCAAACAAACGTAGATGATCATATCTAGGGAACTAAAATCAACAGCACAACTGATGTCAAGTTTGCGGTGCAGCTTTACAGATGGGATTAACCAAGGATATTCAAAATACAATCTGTCTATATTGGCTAAATACATTATATAACATCTTAACAGATTGTACTGAAAACACAGAAATACCCAATTCATCTGCATTAGTTATCTGGAAGGTACACTGAATGTATGAAAACACATTTTTGATAGCAATATCAATATGTATATGTAAAGTAGTATTGAAAAATTTCAATCCCTCAATCCATTTGTACTGCATATCATTGTTACCCCAGAACACAGAAAAAATGCTTACAGGAAATACAGCCATAGATCATCCAGCAGATCATGCAGAGAAGGAAAAATAAGTATCCCATGAAATAGCGATGGTTTCCTGCACCTAGAAAACACGGAAAAAGACTGTTAGCAGCTCAAGCTTTGTATCACAAAACAAAAAGGTGATAAAAATCCCTAAAATAGACTATCCAACATATTAAATAATGTAAACTAAGAGATGCACTTTCTGGCACATTTTGCTCATGCAGGAAAATCAATTACACTGCAAATGCAACCTTTAAAAAAGGAGAATTATGAGGCAAGTGATTTTTACTCAGCCTCAAAATCTGAGCCGACCTGTGACAATGAAACTGTCACAGGTCGGCTCAGTAAATTGGGAAGTGAGCGAACACATACCGTCGCTCGCTCACTTCTCGATCTATTCCTGCTCCCTGCAGGAATCCCCCCCCCCTCGCCGATCCTCCAGCGCTGACTGGCGGAACGGACGGGGGAGGGGACAGCTGGCTCTGCCTCTAGATAGGTAGAGCCAGCTGTCACTCACGCAGGTGGTTGGATCCAGACAGAATTGTCGGGATTCGTTCCGGCTGCGGCGTCTCAGTATACGGCGAGCTGTAGCTCGCGGTATACTGAGCTTTGGGTGACTGGAGGACACTAGTTTGTGTCCTCCTGTTACCCTTAGGAGAACTATGGGGAAAAGCCCTAACCCCATAGTTCTTCTTTATGTTTTTTTAATTTCTGGCACTGTCCACTCTACCAAGAACCTGCCATTTTATTTTTTATTACTTATGGCTGATAAAAACCATGAACTTTTCAATACTGGCAGTAAGCGCAAAAAAAAAAAAAAAAGGATTACCAAAAACACTTTAATGTGCGTGCTCATGGCGTCAAAAGGAAGGATGAGCAAGAACAAGCATATCTGGAGGGATCACAGTGATGCCCTAGTACAAGAACTAGCAGGACTTTAAGCTGCCTGCTTAATTACCCTCACTCCTTTTTTTTTTAATTTCAGCTACCAGCCTTTTCCATTTCCAGGAATGGTTTAGACTTTAGAAAATATGATATTAAACTGGAAAACTGCTAAGCATGCATCAGATACGAGAAGGAAAATGGCAGGTTTTTTTTTCTATTTATTACGTTTATCATTTTTATGCATCTCCGTACGACACAACTGAGCTGCAAGACTGAAAATGTTCGACTCTATTAAATTAGAGGTTCACGATAATTAAATATTCAGAGGAAATGAAGAGCTCAGGTAGGGGCTGAGAAATGTAAATGGTACTAGTGTGTGTCCTCAGTTGTCCTTGCTTTTAAAAGTGACAATTACTCTTCTTCCTTCCCTAGACTCTGGTGCGGTAACAGAGAACGAGAAGATTATAAATCTACTACTATGGTGAAAGCTCTTGTCTTGCCTAATACAGAGGCTAAAGCAGTCCCTTTAACAGAAAATGTTTGATATTGGAGTATTTTTTTTTTTTTACTGGACAATACAGTGGAACATAGCAAATCAGTTCCCAACATACTGATTATCCTGGGGGTCCCTTTGTATATATAGCATTCAATGCCTCTACAGTTCCTCCATGGAAACAAGTAAAGTCAGATAATTGCTCACAGGACACAAGAGCATGTGATAGCAATATCAATATGTATTGAACATAGATAACAAATTCCATATACAAACTTTATTATCCTCATGTGCCATCCCATTCAATACCAATGAAGTGTAAATGTTAAAATATCTTTTGCTTCACTTTAATTCGGAGGAATCCGTGAAGAGTTCTGTTAGGGCCTGTGTCCGCAGGCTTCAAGATTGTATCAATGGCATCAGCTTGAGAGACTTGAGAGATTCTTTACAATTCATTGACTGGTGCATTTGACCGGCTTCAAACAGGATAAAGGAGAACTATGAGGCGAGTAAAAAGCACTCACCCTCATAGTTCGAGCCGACGTGCGACAATGAAACTGTCACACGCCGGCTCAATAGATCGGGAAGCGAGAGGAGTGCATACCATTCTTGATCATCTCCCTGCAGAGAGCGGAGACCGTCAGTCAGCGCTCCCCACAGGGATTCCCCCCCTCCCCACTCTGATCCTCCAGTTTTGACTGGCGGAACGGACGGGGGAGGGTGTGGGTACAGCTGGCTCTGCCTCTAGATAGGCAGAGCCCACTGCCATTGACGCAGCTTGGTGGATCTCAACAGCATTGCCGGTATACATCCTGGCTGCCTCAGTATACCATGAGCTGTAGCTCGCTATATACTGAGTTTTGGGTCATGGGGGTAGGTTACTATATGTCCTCCAGTGACCCTTGAGAACTATGGGGAAAACCACTTACCCCATAGTTCTTTTAAGCATGTATGGGAATGCAAAACTCACAGGAACAAAAAGCCAGGCGAGGAAGATCTTTGGCTACCACCAAACTGCTCAGTAGAACATTAAAATATACAGTATCTATCCAGGCAATCATCGCTGTAAAGAGTATGTAAACATTCCTTTTACTTACCTACACAGTTACCGACCCAAGGACAATGGTGGTCAAATTTTGCTATACAGCGATTACAAATGCCGCAATGCTTAGACCTCACTGGCTTCCTTATCTGTAAACCAATTTAAATGACATACTTAAAAGGGCAAATAAATGTAGTGAAAAAAATAATGTTATCAAAATGCAGCACAGGAATTTAGATTTGACTGAATTACAACTTGTATGTGTATTATATTAGGTGCTAGAGGGGAATGACTACTTGCCACAACTGACACTTTCAAATAATTCTATGCACATATGCTTTACACATGAACAAACCTATAACAATTTTTGAAATACAGGGATTTCTGGGTCACCGGTATGCTCAATCTGGCATAGTGCATCAAACTGATTTCCCTCTGGGCCTGCTTTACTGGTACAACTACTATTTATATGTACAAACAAAAGCACATACAGTCAGACCTTTCCTTGCTAATAATATACTTATCTAAGCTACAGAGTTCCAGTGATCTTCCCAACGTGGTTTATTCATCAATGTACAGACTCTTCACAATGTTCCAAGTTGGCTAGTGGGCACCCAAGTCGTGCACTCCATTCATGTCACTAAGACCATTACCATGATGATAGCCAGAAGCTAAAAGAAAGCGTTTCTGCCACCCAAGGGGGTGGGAGGCACGTGCTAGCTGACTGGAAAGGTTTTAAAGAAGTAAATAAAAGTAATTCACCGGCACACGCTTGAAGGGTTTTTAAAGTATTGTCACTGTCGCTCTGATGAAGGATCCTAGTGCGGACCCGAAACATTAGCACTGTATGACAGTATGTGACATTGGGTATTGAATAAACATAGCAATACTTTAAAAACCCTTCAAGTGTGTGCCGGTGAATTACTTTTATTTACTATTAGTGTTTTGCACGGCGCCATCCGTGTGGTCACCTGGGCACCACATATACCTTGTGGTTTTGAGACCGTGCTAGTGCGAATGGGATTTGGACTTTGTTGTGAGGTTTTAAAGAAGAGCTTGCGTCGTGCCAGGCAGGCTGCACAGCAAAGGTCAACGGAGCCCTGTTTATGTAAATGTAGGTTATTATCAAATTGTCAGCATGGCAAGGAGAGCCTTGAAAGGCAAGTGCACTACAAGGGACATATAAAGCAAAACCATGCAGCTCAAAAAGAGCTACAGAACCAGGGCAGGTCCCTAACTTGCTCTCTGACCCAAAAAGATGACCCTTGAACATGTAGTATAGCTGAACTAAGAATCCCTAGGGGGAATTTATCAAAACTGGAGCAGACAGAATTTGGAGAAGCTGTACATGGCTTCTGTACAATCACCTTCTATCTTTCATTTTCAAAGCTTAACTGAACCAACTGAATAGAGAAGTTGATTGGTTACCACTGGCAACTGCTCAAGATTCTGTCTGCTCGTTTTGATAATTCCTCTCCCTGTTCTTAATCCAACATTTAATAGTGGTAAATTATTATGTATACCAGTGTGCAGAGGATTAATGTAGATGACCTGTCTGAAACCCCATTGTGTGCCAGTATCCCTTCATCCTCCCAACCTGTCGTGGAATCACTATTTTTCTTCTCACTGGTTCTTCATTTGAGAACAGCACTGAAGTGTTCAATCTAGGATATTAGCTAGTGTTACACTGTTAACTTAATGTGGAAAACTCCTTTAGTCTGTCAGCATACCATGTTACCCAACAAAGTTTGGCGATATAAACCAAATAAAATAGTTTACCTTTTATTTTGCAATAAACAAATTTATAAAATATGACCTGGTCGCCAAGCTATAACACGTGGATTCATTTTATGTTGCTTTCTGCTCATGTCATACATATGCATGAACAACATAAACCATAATGGGGAAACCTACCAAACAAGTACTGCAGAATATGCTTAGATCCAGACTGCCAGTTTCAGCAAGCTCTACTATTGTCTGGAAATGACAGAATACAGCACATTAATTTAATAAAAACATTACACAACACTGACATGTAAAAACAGAATAGATTTCTTCCATAAATTATCAAGATGCTGAAAGATGCATCAGTCTACAGCTCACTGAAAAATAAGTTGCAGCATGAAAGACAGAGCAATAAAAGCAGATATAAACACATGACCTATACTGAAAACAAACGCAGAGAATCACATGGCCAATGACTAGACCTTTGGTCATGTGGCAGTTCACCAACGGAGATATGTGGAGCTCCTGAATTAAGGACAAACTATAACACGCAAAAAAAAAAACTTTTATTAAAAAACAACAAAAAAAAACAGCCTGGTCATAACAGTTCACGGATGATTTTTGCCATGAGTATTAAAATGTTTCTGATATGAACATAAGAGGATACATTTCTTCAGTTCACCATACTGCAGAATTGTAAACATCAAGCATCATGGATTCAAAATAAAACTTTCACTTTTCAATTTATGCAGCTTAAAAGGAGAACTTTTGGGAGGAAAAAAAGAAAAATTTACTCCGGATCACACTGATTTACTCTTCCCAACGGAAAGAGAACAGAGAGATCACAAACCACTGATTGCTCAGCTCATGGCTTCTCCCTGCAGAGAGTGGTCACCGTCTAGAGAGGCAGAGCCAGTTGTCAATCAGGCAGCGGGGTGAATCCGGACAATATTGTTGGGATCCTTCCTGGCTGCAGCACGGCTCTGTGCTGTCACAATATAGACTTTGGGTCACAGAATATAGCGGACTTTGGGTCACAGGAGTACATTAGTAAATGTTCCATTGACCCAAAAAAAGAATTATAGCGGGAAAAAAAAAAAAAGTTTGCCCACTGTTCTCTTTAAAAGCTGCGCTAGGCATTGATTATTGGAAAATCTTGTGTACATCAGACAAGCAAGAACGGCCAGCACAGATATATAAACGTTTCATACAGCGATATCTTTGAAGACATTTCACTGCCATACCTTTTTCTTTTGTTCCTCTGTGGCTTTGATAATTCCAGGATCAGATTTCCAAGATTTGCCAAAATTGTAGAACAAGGCTACACTATTAGCCAGGAAGGGAAGATGAATGTACACAAAGTTTAAATGTGCATTAAGAATTAAGGAAATGTCGGGAAATATAGGAGGCAAAAACAAACACTTCAATGACCCAGGAATGTAGTCTGTGTGTAGCCTTATATATCTTACAAGGAAAATAAACTTCTACTGAAGGCCCAGTTATACTGCCTGCTGAACTCTTCCACTTCAATACTAGATGGATAGGAATCAAAAGATAATCACAGCAAACACATTTTTGGACCCGTACGTTACTTTGTCATATGATGAATAGTACTGAAAACAAAACGCTAGCTCAATGGCTATTTTCCAGTCATGAGAACATCACAAGCACCCCAAGGAAACCACTGTATTTAATGTGATGTTAAGGGACAGAGTATCATAATATAAAAAACAGGTCTTTATGATTTACAATACTTTTTACTGGCAAACATAAAACAGCCTGCAGATGCTGCCACGAGTTAGATATAATGTTAAAGACTAACTTTACACACCAATTAAATGTCTCCTAAAAGTTATTTTTAAGGCGTGACAACAGTCAAGGTTGCCAGTGTGCTTATTTCAGCTCTCAACCAAACTTTCAAGCGCTCAAATGATTGGTGTCATAGCTAAATCACATATGCAGCACCATGGCAACAGCAATTCAAAAGGAGGCTAATATGGCACCTTTCTTAGCTGTAAAGGATAGGAGATTATAGTTCCGATTTAATAGGGTACCGGTACTTATGTCCTTTTACCGGAAGCGAGCAGTTCAGTGTACACTATGATGTATATTTATAAAGTGTTGAATCTGTTCACCAAACATTAGGTGAATCTTCAAAGTGCATAGCTTTTAAATGACAGTGATTGATTCACCACCACTGAATGTTTCAATAAAGTCCCATTGACTGCTTTTTGAATATGCCCCTAAACGTAATATGAACGGGATATAGAAAACTGGAAAGTAGGCTTTGTCCTCCAGTGGCGACTTCCAATAATATGGGGGAAAAGGACAAGATAAGTCCATTTTGATTAAAGGAGAACTATGTGGTCCAAGGTTATCTCCAATTTTGTATTCCTTAGACTAAAGGAGTAAATATTGCAATTTACTCCTATAAGCGACAATGCACCCTAAGCCTGTAATAGCTTCCTTAGGATGATGGCGGGGCTAAGCGCCGCAATGAGGGGAGATCCCGACAATACTGTCGGGATCCTCCCCACTGATCTTGTCAGTTTGACTGACAGCACTTCTGAAGAGCTGCTGCACGTCCACGAATATATGGGCATGCGCAGCAGCTCTGTCCCCGCAGCTCTCTCCCTACCTCCTCGTCCTCTGTGCCTGCCCTTCTTTGGAAATAATGAATACTGCTAATAGACTAAAAAAGGTAAGGGGCATGTTTATTTGCCCTTAGGTCCAAGTTCTCCTTTAAGTGAATGCATACTATAGAAGGGTACACATACATGGAAGGCAAAATTTTAAAAAAAGTATTTTCTTTTACTATTATTAAACTCAAAAACACACAATTAACTGAAAGAAATCTGAAAGTAAACATAGCAGCCATTAATTCCGGTCATATCATATAGGTTAAGAGGGGGGGGGAGAAGAGATTACTAGCAGTATGGTTTTTCTCATCACTGCACATCTTTATAAAAGGTGGAAAACAACAAAACAACAAAACCTCACAAAAAAAACACTTCCATGGTTAAGACTCCTCCACAGGGCTGGTACATTCTGACCAGGATGCATCATTTCAGATTAAAGCAGATAAAAGCCCATGCTGGTGCAAATAGCAGGGAGCAAAGGTATAACAGCGTGTTTGTTTCTCCAGCACTTACAAACTACTCAGTCACCAGGCACAAAGGTTATGTCAATATTCAGTGAATGACCATATAATTTGGACAAAAGTTGTTGTACCAAGCTACTATAGTGTACTGTGGACAGGCAATTTGACTTTGTATCCTCTATAGCTCACTGTCGTTCACAATCATCCAAAAAGAGCCACCTCTCACACATCAGATGTTTTGTTCAGGTATGTTAAGGTGCCCATACACCTTACGATTATCGGACGAAACTTTTCGTCCGATGATCGAATAGTCGTACGATTTTCGTACGGCAGCCCCATCCTGCCCCGATGATCGCAAGATTAATTTAGCCGTAATTAACGAAAAGCACCTGGACGAAATGCGGTAATTGATTTGTCGTATTTTCGTTCGCGCATGTGCAGTGTAGATCGTACGACTTTTGACGGACGGAAACGCCAGCAACCTTACGACAATCGTACGATCGAGCAAAGTTTTCAAACATGCTTGACCATCAAAAGTCGTACGATTGTACAGTAATGTCGGTCGGACACTGCAATGCACACATACGATTATCAGACGAAAAGTCGATCGCATATGAAAATCGTCCGATAATCGTAAGGTGTATGGGCACCTTTAGATTCTGCCCCAGTCATTTCACACTTTGAGACTTACCATCTAACAATTGATCTAATCTAACAAGTATACAGCCTTGGCTATAATCAAACCCTCCATGTTTTTATATCTGGGTTTAAAGAACAACTCTGGGCCAAAATGTTATTACACTTGCAGTGGTGCTACCCCCACACTACAAAGATTAAGAGCCAATTTATGCCTAGAGTCAAAAATTACAAAGTTATACTTACCCGATCTGCTAAGCCGGCCAACTGTGACAGGGCTCCTTTCTGCCTGCCTCCTACTCCACTGCAGCGATGGTATGTCCCTCAGCATTCTCCTATCCTATACGCAGTGTATAGAACATGATGGACTCAGGAACCTTAGACCTGCAGCGGTGGAGTGGTTCCAGGGACTGGTCTAGGAGCAAGCTGGCTCTGAGCCGCTGAGTATAACTTCTTATTTTTGACCCTAGGTAAAAATGAGCACTTAAAGCTTGCAGGGTGGAGGGTAGCCCCACTGCAAGGATTAATACAATTTTTACCCAGAATTCTGCTTTTAGTACTTGTTCAGCAAAAAAGTGTGTGTTATGTAGAGGTGGTGCTATGCGCTGTTTCAACCCATTGCACGGTTTTGTTTTTTCACTTTTTTGAGCTGCCACAAAATGACACTTCATTCAACTCACTGCACCGCTGCACTGCAGTAACATGCAACGCTGATATGCTGAATTGCTACACAGTGCAGCGCAACACACCTCAAGGCAGCAAAGGTTTGATCAGGGCACAATATCAAACACTTCCATACGATTGTACAGTAATGTCGGTCGGACACTGCAATGCACACATACGATTATCAGACGAAAAGTCGATCGCATATGAAAATCGTCCGATAATCGTAAGGTGTATGGGCACCTTTAGATTCTGCCCCAGTCATTTCACACTTTGAGACTTACCATCTAACAATTGATCTAATCTAACAAGTATACAGCCTTGGCTATAATCAAACCCTCCATGTTTTTATATCTGGGTTTAAAGAACAACTCTGGGCCAAAATGTTATTACACTTGCAGTGGTGCTACCCCCACACTACAAAGATTAAGAGCCAATTTATGCCTAGAGTCAAAAATTACAAAGTTATACTTACCCGATCTGCTAAGCCGGCCAACTGTGACAGGGCTCCTTTCTGCCTGCCTCCTACTCCACTGCAGCGATGGTATGTCCCTCAGCATTCTCCTATCCTATACGCAGTGTATAGAACATGATGGACTCAGGAACCTTAGACCTGCAGCGGTGGAGTGGTTCCAGGGACTGGTCTAGGAGCAAGCTGGCTCTGAGCCGCTGAGTATAACTTCTTATTTTTGACCCTAGGTAAAAATGAGCACTTAAAGCTTGCAGGGTGGAGGGTAGCCCCACTGCAAGGATTAATACAATTTTTACCCAGAATTCTGCTTTTAGTACTTGTTCAGCAAAAAAGTGTGTGTTATGTAGAGGTGGTGCTATGCGCTGTTTCAACCCATTGCACGGTTTTGTTTTTTCACTTTTTTGAGCTGCCACAAAATGACACTTCATTCAACTCACTGCACCGCTGCACTGCAGTAACATGCAACGCTGATATGCTGAATTGCTACACAGTGCAGCGCAACACACCTCAAGGCAGCAAAGGTTTGATCAGGGCACAATATCAAACACTTCCTATGTGCTCTTGCGTTAAGCCTGCATTGACCAGCAACACAAAATGAGCACTATGTTTTATTTATTTGGTTTGCTGTTGCCCTACAACTTCTAATTTAATCAGGGATATAGATATTGCTAATATGGAAGTCAGTAAAATACACAAAATGTTATTCCCCCAACTGTAATATTTATGAGAAAACCCAAAGAATATTTCTGTGAACATGCCTGGCATTTACCCGTTTTCCGCATGTCAGAAAAGGCTGTGTTCACGCCTGGCAGCACAAAGGTGCCCAACTGCCTGATCACAGCCTGTATATACCATGTTGAATCTAGCCCATATGAAGCAGGGAAAACATATGGTAACTTCCTCCACCATGAAAAAACTGTGTGAAGCACAATAAAACTTTGCATTTGTCACAGCTAAGTATATTCGTTCCATTTTCCAGAATACCATTAAAGGCTTTATTAGAGCGCTCAGCACACATCACTCATCTCTACGGAACCTTCACATAAACACAATGGAAAATGACTGCATTACAGTTCAAATAAATCATGTCACGCTTGCGAGAGGTCATGGTCATAGGGGGAGGGACATACTACAAAACAGTCATGTATGATTCCGTGAACATTGCAACATGTATGCATCACAAGTCTAGACAGATCTCATCATTTAACTATGTAATGACTTAATGCTTTAAAAAAAAAAAAAAAAAATCTGAACAGAACACAAATGGATGTAACATGAGAACATAAATGCCTTTCAAGCAAAAGTTATGAGTCAGCAGGATGAAAAGCATGAAATGGGCGAAAGCAGAGTGAACAAAACAGGAGGAAAAGCTAGTCTGGCTTCTGGAACAAATTGCCATTTTACAGACTATACTCCAGACATAAATGTGCTCAGCATGATCCAACCCTAGCTCAGCTAAAAACACGTTTGCAGGGAAGAAAACAGAGGGTGTGATATCCAACAACTAAAAATTAAGTGTGCTTGTAGAACAACGTAGCTTCCAATCAATTTAGAAACCAGCTCCTTTTTATACTATGCAGATACTCAATCCATCTAATACAAATGAGCTCATCTACTAAACCAGATACTTAGAATAGGAATCTTTGGTTGGTTTGCTACAATTACACCAATTTAAAGGATATCTAAACCCAAGAACAATAATATCATAGATTGCAGTCTAAGTTAGATATGGCGGCTGTATTAGTTTTCTTTTTAGACTTATTTTTTTGCAACTACAAAAAAAGTACTGAACTGATATTTTAAACAATGTTATCAGCTTTTCCAGCTATCTTCTGTAAACTACAGAACTCTTCCTCCCTGTGTAATGGCGATGAGGAGGTGTTTGTAATCTAAAGCAGGAGAGCAGTCTATGGTGACAACACTGCTCCTCCATAGATATAGTACAGTCAGGGAGCGCGGTCACCCTAGGATATGAAGTGTGTTACGAGCAGGATCACCAGGTGAAAATATAAGGGGGGGAAAAAAAAAAAGGGGCTGAAAATAAGAAAAACAAATGCAGCTACTCCATCTATGGACTGGAAAGTTGCAGTTTATAACACATATCTACGGTTGGGTACAGAGAAGGACTTGAGCCTCTGTCAGGTTTTTACTGTTATCAGGATCACAAGTTTTCTACCATGGTAATCACGGTTAATAGTTCCTTGCAGATTTCTACATTAAGGGCCCATTCACTCAATATAGGGTTCCTGTGGTAGGAATCCCAGGTGTCCAGTTCAAATGCGGCCAGTGTGCCCGTTAAAGTAAACGATACGGTGACAGCAGCCACATCTTTAAGCAGCAGTCCGATACCTAATGATACGGTTACATGCGATTTGGAATAGAGGATAGTCGCTAATCATACCCTGTTTCCCCGAAAATAAGACCTACCCCGAAAGTAAGACCTAGCACTATTTTTCAAGATTCCTGTAATATAAGACCTACCCCGAAAATAAGACCTAGTTTGGTGGTAGCATGTGAGGGGGAACTTGAAGAGCAGGAGAGATGGTATCATGCTGTATTAAGGGGATGACAGAGGACTCCCTCCGGCCAGCGCAGTGACAGGGAGCACTCCAGTACCATACTTCACCAACTGCTGTCCCCCTGAAGGCACTGCTTAATGTAATGGTACTGTACTGTAATGTGTACCGGTAAATGGTACCATACTTTACCGCGCTGTCCACTGTCTGATGTCTCCACTGATACACCGCTGGTACCATCGTCCCTGATGGCAAAGGAAGTCGGCGCTGTCGAAAGCAAGGCTGCGGCGGTGGAGGGAGCAGAGCCGCATTATCCGATACTTCTTCTATAGCGCCGGTTACTGTGACAAGCGCAGTGATACCAGATAACTTTGGGTTGTTGTACATTTTGTTGCACATTAAAAAACTAAAAGACGTCCCCTGAAAATAAGACCTAGTGTGTTTTTTTTGGGGGAAAAAAATATAAGACAGTGTCTTATTTTCGGGGAAACACGGTATACCATTACATACGGACGGCCACTTACAAATGCGGCCGCTGCACCCACTGAGGTTAATGACCGTATGACAGCAGCGGCATCTGTAAGTGGCCGTCCGTTTGTGATGTTATATGATTAGCGACAGTCCTCTATTCCAAACCGCATGCAATTGTATCATTATGTATCGGACTGCCACTTACAGATGCGGCTGCTGTCACCGTGGCATCTAAATGGGAACACTTAGCATTCCTGCCGCAGGAATGCTAGATCGCCTTCGTGTGAATGAGGCCTAAAGGCCCATGATCATATAAAATAATCTGCTAAGCGTATGTGGTCAAGAACTGTAATTATTGTATTCAGAACATAAAAGTGAAAGAATTAACTAAAACGTCTCTCCATCTTATACATGCAGACCAAGCTGCCCAGCTAAAGTGACAGATGCAGCTACTTGGAAACCTATAACACTGTCGGAGCTGCTCTCTGCCTACTCATGGACTAATCTCTGTTCCTCCAGAGCTAACTGGAGGGACAGACAGGGAGGGGGCAGGCATAGCTGGCTCTGCCTCCAGAGAGGCAGTGCCAGTTGTCAATCACCTGGCAGGGTGGATCCCGACAATAGCCCGTTATACGCGGAGCTTTGGGTCACAGGAGGACATAGTAAATGTCCTTCTGTGACCCTACATAGAACTATGGTTAAAAAAAGGTTTGGCCATAGACCACTTTTAAACACCCCCACTATTTTGCCATCTCAAAGATACAAAAAAAAATGGCTGTATCAAAGTGTCAGTACTAAACTGCTTCCCTAACCCAACAAGTGAAATCAAATCTACCTTGTAAGGCAACACCAGCTACAAGCGGTTAAGTGTATTTCCACTTTCGCAGCCAAACTGGGATAATACCTACTGTACTTGATATCGGTTACATGTTCCCAAATCATATTGCATAACTAAAAAAAAAAAAAAAGTTGCAGCTTAGCTTTTTTAGATGCCCTTTCTGTTACCGTGTTTCCCCGAAAATAAGACAGTGTCTTATTTTCTTTTTTGCACGAAAAAAAGACACTAGGTCTTATTTTCGGGGGATGTCTTACCTGGCTGGCGGAGGACTGGACATCCCAGAAGGCGGCGTGCTGTTGCCGGTCCCGGTGTGATGTTATGCCGGTTCCATCGGACGTGTGGGCGGGAGCTGCGGCCGGTCTTTACACAGTTAATGTGCAGCTACCCCGAAAGTAAGACCTAGCGGATTTCTGCAATATAAGACCCACCACCGAACTAGGTCTTATTTTCGGGGTAGGTCTTATACTACAGAAATAACTGAAGATAGAGCTAGGTCTTACTATCGGGGTAGGTCTTACTTTCGGGAAACACAGTATTTCCAGGACTGAAAAATCCCTTAGTTCTCACTGTCTGGCAGGGGGGGTAGTCTGGTTTCAATTAACACTGTCTGTACTGTGCTGGCAAATTTCATTATCACTTGAAAACTAGATGAGCAGAACTGTATCCTAACAAAGGGTTAAAGTCCTGAACGCCTTGTATGTTAATGAGGAGAAGTTCAGTCTGTCCGTAGTCAGTCCATCTAAAATATTAGACAGAGTTGGTCGTTATCTAAATAAATACATTATCAATGCAAAATCAGTCAACAAAACACTGCTCAAGTCTGTCCCCAGAGACCCAGTTATTCCATTCTTGGGTACTGCCATTTGACCTTTTATCCAGCATAAGGGTGAACCCTGGCGGTAAGCCCCAGCACATGTCAAAGATATCTGCTACAGCCACTGCTCTCCGCATACATCAGTGGTCAGATATAGACAAGAAGGGTTAGCTGTTACATTTGAACACTAATATCAACACAGTTTAGTCGGCTTTGGCTGCAGACTTTAAGGTCTCGTTCACACCTAGGCGTATTGCATATGCGCGTCTGTCGCGCGTTCTTTTACCGTGATCCGCGGTAAAAAAAATTGCGCGACCGTCGCGCGTTTCCGAAGGCTACTTGGCTGTATCCCAAAGGAAACGCGCAACAAAACGGCCCAAAGTAGTACATGTACCTTTTCAGGCGTGGGCCGTTTTGTAGCACGTTAGGGACGGGCGGAAATACGCCAAGGTGGGAACGAGACCATTGAATACAATGCGATTTATATTTTTGAGCGTTTTGTAGAGCGTTCGTCGAGCGTAGAAGCGTAGAACGCGCTACAAAACGTTCAGGTGTGAAGGAGGGCTTAGGAAAAGAAGGATTTGTTTTGATACTGCTGATGGGCGTAGATTATGAAGATTCCACTGTGTAAATGCTTGCAGAATGGAAAGATGACCTGAGCAAGTTTTTTGGATAGCATTAGCAGTTTACTGATTGATTTCACTAGAAATCCCATTAATTTCTATGGCCCTGTTCACATCTGAGTGTTTTGTCGCAATAAGCAAAACACCTGTCGCTGGAAAAAGTATGCAAAAGTAGCATATTACAGCTCGTTTTGACTCATAGGAAAACACTAGAAAATGCACGTTTTGTGTGTTTGAGCATTTGTGCCTGCGTTTTATGCACGTTTGTTCAATAACATCAATGAGCTACAATCTGCTCAGAAAAACACCCAACTTGATTAAGGCACAAAAAATCATGAAAAAAAGCACACAAAAAATGTGAATCAAAAACGCGTAAAAATGCTGTTGTCTTGGTGTGAACCCAGCCTTAGGGACTTGGATACAGGAGGCTTACTATAACTGGACAAGTAAGAAAAAACAGATAGATCTGACTAATGAAAAAAAATGTGCTATGCAGAGTCACCTTTGAAACCATACCACATACTATATAACATACCATAAATGTAACTTTTTTCAGATATTACACATAAATCAGTCAAAAGTAAAATGACAACTGTGACAAGGAAATAGGGAAAGGATAACAAAATTCCTAGTTTCTCACCCTCATAAATGTTGGAAAACATCCTACTTAAAATGCAAATATGTACAAGAATTCAAACTATGTTCTTACTAGCATTCATTTATATGAGCACTATACAAAACAAAATAAGACATTGTGAAAGCAAGAGTGACATGCAACAGACCCTTGTGGTATGATGGCAATCGGCAAATAGAAAATACACGGTAAAGGATATCATTCCAAAACCAGAAGAACCATGTGACATACATCCAGAACTTGGTTGCCAGGTAAATCCCCAGAGGAAGTGCACTATGCATTGAGTGATCAAAGAAAGACCTGCAAACCATAAAGAAGGAAGACTCAATTACAATTTATTTCTTATAAAACCAACTGATATTAAAAGAACTAGGGATGTTCAGATATCAAGTACCGTACTTGATACAAGTACCGATACTGTTCAGCTCCAAGACTAGAGAAAACCTCAAAAAGGAGTGGGGCTCTTGAGATTTGTGCATTCCCGTTTTAATGTATGGTGTTTTTTACATTATGCACGGATACCATTTTTTTCCAGACCAAGTACTGATTCTTGTCAAAGTACTCACAGATAAAATTACTGATAACCTTTTTTTTTCTGTAGTGTCATGCGACAGTTTTTCTAAAAAAATACAGACTAATGATTGTAGGACAGTGGTGGGGCGCCAGGGCCCAGTCACAGCTGCAACTGCTGCTACCCTGGTAGTTCTTGTGAAAATGCCAAGTATCGGCACTGGAATCTGAACATCCCTAAAAAGAATATTTAAAAAAACCCTTTCAAGCTTAGCACAAGTAACTCTGAACTGGAGTCTGATATTTCCAACTATTTGTGGCAAGGTGAATAACTGATGGTACATGTCCTGTCTGTGGGTGGACACTGCCACTATTTGATGACTGCCTAAAGGCTTGTGGCGGCAGCCTCCTACATTGTTCTTCCCTCTCTATTCATATAAACAGCTTGGCTGAACATACACATTTTTAAAGCTCTCTGAAGATTTTTTTGCCCCACGGCCGGTTGGATTGTACATGCACAGCCACCTTCTAACATTTATGGGAAGCTTTACAGTTGCACGTATTAAAATAGATACTCACGTGATAAACGTTTGTACTAATAACATTGACACATACTCATCTAGAACTATATTTCTCAGTGAGCTCTGGCTTGTCCATCTGTGTGTCAGATGGACATGAACAAAATATATTCCCCTAAAGTTGACTACACACAGATGTTGTGCCGGATCAGCAAATAAACAAACCAACAATCTAGTGCAGGGGTCAGCAACCTTTTACACACCGAGTGCCATTTTTGCAACCATCAGACAACCGAGTGCCATTGAACAATAGTGCACCATGGTATTAGCAAATTTCAGTTTTTGTACTCATAGTTGTACTGCTAATAATAAGTTAAATGTAGGGCCAGCCTAAGAAATCCAGTTACTGTATATTCTATCCAGTCACACAAATACGTTTACTTCCAACAGATCAGCTCTAAATAATTTCTGACTGTGGCCTGCATCATGGTGGCCCCTGAAAGAGCAAAAAATCTTAACTATCACTAAGAAAACATTGCATGCAATTAAAACAAATGCTGAGTTCTGCTTAAATTGCACAACACGTGGTTTACACCTGCTTTTTAACCAGTTGACATCCGCGGTGTTAAACCCCCTTCCCATCCAGGCCATTTTTCAGTATTCAGCGCTGCGGTACTTTGACTGACATTTATTCCGTCATGCAGCGCTATACTGAAATGAATTTTATACCCTTTTTTGGGGACACATAGAGCTTTCTTTAAGTGGTATTTATTCACCACTGGGGGTTTTATTTTTGTATATATTAAGGAAAAATTACAGATTTAAAAAAAAAAAAAAACAGTTTCCCCTATATTAAGCACATGGAAGATCCAAGTAATGTTTATCATAAACATGTATGTGATATTTTTTCCAGTTTACAGAAAGGATAGAACATCCGGTGGCATAAGACGTGAACCAGGCAATCATAAGAGTAAGAAGCAGTGATTGGTGAAAGCGCACAAGGAGTTAACAGTCGCCTCAAGTGAACCAGTACTAAATAAATAGTCACACAGATGGCATTACACAAACAGCATCACAATGTGCTCCCTCCTAAGGATTGTACTCGCAACAATTTGTTTTCCAAACAGGATTGCGCAGAATACAATTTTCTACATTGTGCTAATTGAAAATGCTAGACAAATACAGTTATGTCAGTGTAGGCACCTACAGAAAGAAGGGATAGACTTTGGAATGCATCAAAACAATGATTAATCTTTATGTGTAATTCTGGAAGAAGTAACCAAGACTATGATGTGTACATGGCATGTCATGGAAAAAAAAAAAAAAAAAAAGATGAAAACATTTCAGATACTGATATAGTTTCCCATGGATTACTGTATAATGCCTAAGAATTTTAATTTGAATGGAGGCAAACTTCACTGAGCACAAAAGCAAATTGGTGGTGGTTCTCTTAACAAGCAACCAAATCTTAGCTGTTATGTCTGTAGTGCAGGTTAGTAAAAATGAAAAGAATTGTCTTGTCGCTAGGGGTAACCACTCCATTCCATTGCTTTTGAAATTATTTTTTTCCCCCAGCAGTTAACATACAGCACTTTCCCAACCAATCTAATGAAGTAAATACTTCTAAATAGTACTAAAAGTGCTCAACAGAATCTTGCAAAAGTGCTACTTCTAAAATATCCCAATAAAAAGCACACATACTAGGGCTGAAACCAACTAATTGATTGAAAGATAAATCGATAATGAGAATGGTTGTCAACAATTCTCATTACCGATTAGTTGGTCTGGGTCCCCTGCTTCTCTCCTCTGTACCAGGAACCAGTGTTTCAACAGCTCTGTGTACCCTCCAATCCCGGCTGCAGCCGGTGCCCAATGGTGAAGCGCTCCACTAATCCCCATTCCCCTTCTTGGCTCTGCAGCTTTCTCCTTCCCGCTGGATCCCTGCTGCGGTCTCTGTACCCTCAGATCCCCGCTGCTCTTCCCTGTAAATAACTGAGGACATAGTATTCATATACTCTGTCCCCAATTATGAATAAGCAGGAAGTGCTCTAAATCACTTCCTGTTCATTCACGATTGTGGACATAGTAAATGGATACTATCTCCTCGATTTATGAATGAACAGGAAGCTTCTATTCCGAGTGTTCCTGTCCATTCATAAATTGAATAGAGTGGAGAGGAGTTTCTACTTCTGTGATGGTTTTATTGCTGTCCGATTTCCTTCACTCCTTTGTGTCACCCAGACAGCAACTGAAGGAAAACACTAACTGGGGCAAATTTTTGGGCAGAGTGGAGAAGGGATAGAACCCCTTCTAATTTCTTTTTGCCGTTACCCAAGTGAGGGGAAACTCCAACCTTGATAGTTGTCAAAGTGACAACTTCATTATGTATACCCCATTACTTTCTGTTACAATTAAAAACAGGGGAAATTTCCCCAATAAGGACACCAGTAAAAATGAACACAGTTCTTAAACCTTCACTGGAGTTAGGCTTCAAACTCTCCTGTAACCTGTAAACTTGTTTTCTTATTAACGATTCTCTTTACCCATCCCTTTTCCCCTCTCATTCTGTTTTGTCCTGCTCTCTTCTTTGCTCATCTCCTTTCTTATCTTTTTTACCCTTCTACAATATAGTATGACTATATAGCTTACCGCGTACCAAGGTTCTATAAACTTGAAACAGAAGAACCCATATAGCAGAAGCAGCGTCCCATTCAAGTCTATAGGACATTTGTGTGCAGCTAGCCCTGCACTAAATTGTAACCTGTCGGGCTGCAGACAGAGTGGGTGGCTACAGCTGTTGGATATGCTGGAGGAGAGGACCCAGATCTTTGTATTGAGGGGGCAAGGGAGGGAGTTGAGCTGGGCAAAGTTTTAGCAAACATGTACATGTACTAAATCCACCAATATAATGGTTTCCCAAGGGAAAGCACAAAAGTTAGAAATCTTTAAGAAGCGTTACTAAATCCTTAATCAAAACACACTAAGGTTGTTCTCTGCAGTGTTTCCATGCATGCCTACTAGTGCATGCATAGTGTATGCTACATTCAAGGCTTGTATCTGGTGATAACCGTCACTGTGCTTATGTCAGTTCTCAAAATGTTAAAGCCCTTAAAAGGCTATGGTCTTAGCTGGTCACATGGGCAGCACCCTGACAACTGCAGATCTAAATAAGGGCTAAGGTGGTGATGTCTTTAGCTACAAAAGGATAAGAGGGTTGACTTATGCTTTACGGAATTTTTCTAAAGTTACTCACTTTGATAAAAATTGCACCATTGCCCAAACTCCACCGTACATGAGACCTTTAATTAACCAGGAATCAATGTCAAGATCGGCTATAAAACCAACCAGCCAAATCACTAAGAACGGTGTTCCGAGCATCACCTTTTGCCGAAACTCCTGAAAAAAAAAAAGCCATTGGTTATAAATCTAAATGGTCCATATTGTGACTGACACGTACACTTAAAAATCATAAACAAGATAGATTGTTTAAATATGGGTAATGTTACTGGAGCAATTAATGGGTTCCAAGCTGATAGACAACAGTGTTCATGGAGTTTGCATATTCTTTAAATTCTTACAAATAAATGTTTTGGGTGTTCTGGTTTACTCCACAAACACTAGTAGGTGAATTGGCATCACCTGGACTGGAGATATTATTTGTGTGCGCTTGTACAACTACTAGCAGGAAATAGAGTAAGCTCTAGTGGGGCACCAACTTTGGGAAGAAATGTGAGCACAGGTTGGGTCCTGCACCACCATCTTGGTCTACTCAGTCATCAGGAGCTGTCACTTGCTGGTTCAAAAAGCCAGTTCCCTGATAGCCCACTACCAGGTCCACCTTCAGTCTCTGTTTCCCTGCTCCTATAGCCTTCTGGGATATGTGGTGTAGATATCCCAGGGGGGGTTGCAAGAGCATTAAACACATCATTCTCATCTAGCAGGGTGGGGTTTGTGGGGCAAGGAAGATTAAGTCCAGAGAGAGTGAAGGTTTCTTTTTTCTTTATCCCATGACCACGGACTAGGAAGCCTATGTGTAGCTTTTCTTTCACAGGAATCAAAACCCACCCCTTACCTTATCTGCCTTTAACTTTTTGAGGAACGAGGGATTGTCGTAGCCTTTGGCTTGCCTTGCCTCTTGTAAATGGTTGATCATCCAAACATTTTTTCTTTGCTTTGCTAAATCGAGTGGTGACTCTCCCTGCAATGAACACAGGCAGGAAACACTGTTGGATTAAAAAGGTAAAACAAGTAATTTCTTTAGCACACACATTCTGCTATAGTTGTAGGAAATCGAAGTGTAGTGTTTTAAAGGGGCACCATCACTTTTTTTCTTTGTATCTTCTTCATAAGGAATCTTAATAGGTCTTATGCCTGTGTGTGCTATGTATTTAGCAAATTATACAGGGTCACATAGACCTTTCTATAGACAAACACTTGTAAAAATACAGTCCATGAGCCGCGGAGAATTCAAATAACTCATCAGAAATAATATATAATAATATATACACAACAATATATTTCTGTACACACCTAGAAAAAAAAAAGTTACCTTTATATTCTGAGCATCTACATTGGCACCAGCATCTAGAAGCAAACTGATGACTGTAGTGTTTCCAGCCAAAACAGCCCAGTGTAATGCAGTGTTTTTATGGTATTTATCCCCAAGATTGACAGACACATTAAAAGTAAGGAGTAATCTAGTGGGATCCACACTGCAAAACAAAAGATTGCAAAAACAACTTAAAGAGGAAACCTTAGGGTATTTTCTGTGGACACATTTTAAAATGATACTAAACTCATGAGATAAATCTTAAAATTACATTCAAGTATCTTAACTATTAAACAAAAATGTATCTTATTTGTGTATCACTCAGCTGTAGATCCTCAAATCATCTCTGAATTCATGTGAACACTGTCCTTCCTTCTGGAGGGTGCCGACTTTTGTTCCCCATGGTTCCTGTGTGTGTTGTAAAGTAGTCACTGCTGCTGTGATGGACTACAATGTCATGTTTAGTTTACGAATTTGTATTTAAGTTCTAGTCCATCATGGGAGTGAGCCTGGAGTGTTGGCTACAACACACACAGGGACCATGGGGAATAAAAGTAGCCACCCTCTAGAACAGGGGTGGCAAACTCTGGCCCTCCAGCTGTGGTGAAACTACAAATCCCATGATGCATCTGCCTCTGCGAGTCGTGCCCGTGGCTGTGAGAATCTTGCAAAGCCTCAAGGGACTTGTAGTTCCACAACAACTGGAGGGCCGCAGTTTGCCACCCCTGCTCTAGAAGGAAGGACAGTGTCAGCATGAATTCAGAGATGATTTGAGGATCTGCAGCAGAGTGATACACAAATAAGATACATTTTTGTTAATAGTTAAGGTACTCAGGATTGTATTGTTTTCCTGAAAAACACATTTTCATGCAAATGTCACATTTTGACAGACATGCTCCACATTTCGATGAGAATTAGAAATATGTAGATTATACTTCTAGTGGTTGTCTAGTATCAGTAAAGGCAGGAGATCTACCACATAAATAATAATTTAGAAAACATTAAAAATGGATGCAATTATGACAGCATAGAGAGCAGACATGAACTGAAAAAATGAACAGTCAAGCACTTAACAGGAGACATCTGAAGATGTAATGTTAAAGTATATCACAGCATAGTAAAAGAAAGAAAAAAAAAAAAAAAAAAAAAAAAAAAAAAAAAAAAAAAAAAAAAAAAAAAAAAAAGAAGAAGGGGGGGCATGCATGTGTATGTAAACAATACCACACACGTTAGGTATGCGAGAGTGGGAGCAATAATTCTAGGGCCATAATTCACTGTTAGATCTAAACTGATGAGCAGTAAAGGCTTTTAAAGCGTAACTTATGGACAATTCTAAATACTATAGTTTTTCACATTTGCATGGGCATGCACAAAATGTAAGACTTGAAATGTTTGGTATCTATTTACTCAATGGGGCCCCTTTTATATATTCTATAAATGCGGGTGCTATATTCATTTTAGGATATTTGTTCCTAAAAATATTGATTTGATAAATATTTGCCCAAACGGAGTACGATTTAAAAAAAATGCAGCTGCCATTTTTTTTTTATTCTACATGGCCTTTGCTAATAGAAAATATATAAAATTGTTTGGGGGTTTAAAGTCCTTTTATTATCCAAAAATTCAGGTTTTAGCATGTGTGAAAAAAATTTAAAAGTTTGCTCCGGTCCTGAGGTGGTTAAAGTTGAAATAAAGTCTCTAGTGGACAAAGGATACTTCTACAGTGATTATATTAGTAGCTTTTTACAGTGAAGCATTTATGTTATTGTTCCAATATTAGAATGCTAGAAATTTTAAAGAATATACAAATGTTTCCATGCAATGGCTTAAAGTGTATTTCCAATTTTGGAGCCAAATTGGGATAACACTACTAAACTTTGTTACTTGTTTCCATTCACATAACAGAACTTTAAAAAGAATATTTAAAACTTGCTGCTTACCTGTTGACATGCTCCTTTCTGAAAACTCCAGGACTAAAATATGGTCTCCTTTCTATGTAATGGTAAGAAGAAGACTGGGTGGTAACTTGTATGGTAATGCACTTAACTGTCCTTTAGTTTGTCCCTTATCTCCACATGGCCAACTATGCTAAGCAAAAGAAGCTGCCAGTAATGCCCTTTGTATTACACTGCTAAAAGTGAACTAAAAAAGGTAACAAGTATTTTTTTTAAATTACTTTTAGGTATGTTTTGTGTAGAGCTGCAGCTAACGATTATTTTCAAAATCGAATTCCGAGATCGGGCCTGTCTATCGGCCGCTGTCATCCCCCCACACCTGCTCCTCCTTACTTCTTCTCCCAGCGTCCCACGTGGATGTGGGCGGGCAGGCGATGAGTGAAAGGCGGGAAGGGGGTGCCGTGTGTACAGCATGGATGCGGGCGGGTCTGGCAGCGGTGAGCGCGAGTTGGGGAGGAGGTGCGGCGCGCAGCGTGTGGAGCCGTGAACAGGGCCAACTGATCGGAAGCTGATTAATCGATTATTGAAAAAGTTGACAACTTTTTCAATAATCGATTATAATCGATTATGTTGATTAGTTGTTGCAGCCCTAGTTTTGTGAATGGGAACACAGACATAGTGGGATTGTTTTCAAATTTGATTGCAAATGTGGAAATACACTTTAAACTTCCAAAACCTGGTACATACACAAGAGAAGCACCAAACCACTGTCTTCTGTGGCTCTAATGAGAGTTCCTAACTCTCCCAGTCATAAAGCTGCTAACTGTAGTTAGATGGAAATACACACCAAAGCTAAAAGACAGTCAGTAAGAGTTGTGAATGCATATCAGCCAACCCCTTTCTTGTCAGCAGCATCTAAAAAAAGAGCACAGATCTATACATTCCCTATTAGGTATTTCTACCAATAGAACAGTGCAATTTCTGGGTTTTGGTGACAGTGCTGGCAACAGGTTTCTATGATCACTGAATTACTTGGTTACCTGTGTGTCCTGTAAGCTGCCCACATTAAGGGAGTCATTCCATTTTGATCCATCATATCAACATCCTGAAACACAAAATGGTAATCAAGGTATAAAACAAAAAGAAACAATTTTTAGGTCCATCATGATGTTGTCTGAAATGAAAATGGTCTTGTGTTATTTCACGTGTTGTTGAACTAGAATGAGCATACCAAAACACATCAAGAGTGTAGAACTGTATTTAGTTAACCCCTCCACAGGGGAGCCCGTTCAGTTTTGTAGAGCCGGCGGCCGGCTTTACAGTAGAAGAGATACTGGCGGGTCAGCTGCCACCAGATCACTTCTACGATTCGGTAACTGCGCTGCCCCCACTGTGTTTCCTGAGCTTTGCTGCCTATTCTATGGGCCCAGGACCGTTTTTCCAGGTATCGGCGGGAAGCTGTTGCGGATATCCTGTTTCCAGATTTCCGTGACGTCCGTTCACAGATTTCCTCCCCGTACTATAGGACCGCGAGCGACGCGGATTGCATCTCTTCCGGTCCCGTAGCTGTCATTGCTTGGCTCCTCAAGCCCAGCAATAAGCTATTGAAGTGCGACCTTGTGTTGCGATATATCTTAGTGGACTTTTTCAGACACACATAGATTTGCAATAGAGACGGAGATTTTGTTTGTTTGTTGACGGAGAGCTGGGTTCACACAATGGAAGGTGCCATCTAAACAGACCAAACTGGTTTTTCACCATGCTTGTCCTGTATGGTTTCCCATTATTCGTATCACAATGGGATGGTGATATGGGTCAGTTTTGCATAAACAGGCACACCTAGCCTGATCAAGACTCAAATCAAATCTGGACTACTGGTGGCAATTTATGATACAACGCTGCCACCTAGAGGTGGGAAAGTGAAATGCATGGTATTTCATTTTCCTAAAAGTGAAAGAGGCGGTGCTTCCAAGTGGATGGCCAGTTTCTCTCAATAAAAAGCCAGTAGCTGAAAAGGTTGGGAGCACTTCACAAGACGAGGGCTTCACAGGTGGGGGACAGTACGAGGGGGCTTCACAAGACGAGAGGACTTGCTTCAAGACCAGGACATACAAAGGATTTAGCAGAGACTACCATTTTCCTAGGCCAAGAAGTCCTGCTCATCAGGGAATTTGTGGTGCCTGCAGCCTGAGCCAAGTACATTTTTCAGTGTTTCCCCTCCTAGAAAGCATTACATGCACTAGAAAGGATAGCGTAGTGGGTGCATGTGATAGTTTGTTTGTAGCAGCCTGTATGTATGTCTTGTTTATGGATTTGTTTTTTCCTGTAACTACACGCAGCATTTTCGCCAAGTAAAGTACTTTTAAATGCTACTGGGTCAGTTTCCTTGCAGCTTTACTGCAAGAACAGACAACAAATAGAAATTAAAGTTTTGCCAAGCTTTACAGCTGGGCTCATTCTTGATAAGCTTTACGTCTCTGGGATTTATAGTCCAGAGCATTACAGACCTGAACAACAATAACTTATTTACAGTGTGAAGGTGACACTGAGGGTCTTTTGGACCCCCAGTATCACCTTAAAGGAGTACCTGTCATTGCCAATAGGCTATCACATGGGGGGCTTGTAACCCTCCCGTGTGATAGCAATTAAAAAGTTTAAAAAAAGGTTTTAAAAATATTAAATAACATTTTAAAATAATAAAAAATTAATTAAAGTCCCATGCCCGTCGTCGCGTAAACACGCGTCGGTGCGCCTACATAGGAACATGACGATTGCGCTACACAATTGCGTAGCGCAATTCTAGAGCCAATATTTACACGTATCTCTAAACTGATGACCTGTAAGGGCTTTTAAACGGTCTATGGACTTTTGGGGTACTGAATTCTGACGCAGTTTCACGGACGCACATAAATGTTAACCTAGGCATGTTGGGCATCTATTCACTCGTAACCTCATCTGACATTTAAAAAAAAAAAATGGTTTTATACAGTGTTTGGGGCACTAAATTTAACAAGTTAATTTTTTAAAAAATTTTTGGGTTTGATAAGTTGTGCAACATAACAATTTGCAACCGCCACTGTCTGATGCTCACTGTACCACAATTTGAGCCTGATGAATTCTGTATTGTAGTAGGCAGCTGACCTAATTTGTTTCCAGATAAAAAAAAAAAACACATGAAATCACTGTAGTAATTATCCAACTGAAGGCTCTGACCTATTTACTCCTCTAAATCCAGGTGGTGACTTTTTTTCTGGCCAGGCAGTGTATAATGTAACATTAAATGAAGCACATCTCAGTTTTCAGCAGACATTTCATATTCTATTCAGATAAAAAGGTATCACTCAGTAGTCTCAGGTGATGCTGTAACCATATAAAAAGGGAACCAATATACAAGCCGTGAACTTACCTTTCCACCAAATACATAGTTCCAAGGACAATGAATAATATGAATGTGGTAAGCACAGGCTAATCTCCCACTGTCCGGGGACAGGCAGAAAATAACAGAATGTATGGCATACATTTCTGTAGACAATATCAAGTCATCCAAATGAAAAGACGCATTTGCAGCATGTACAATTTCCCCTGTGTTTATCCTGACTGCAGTGGTTTGTGTTCCCCTAAATAGACAAAGTGGCAGCACCACCTGCTGGAAGAAATTGATTTTACATCATAAGTGGAAATAAAAAGTTGAGAGCAAAGGGGGTACCTATTTCTGAAAAGTTAGGCAAAGTGAGAGCCGATGCTCCATTTTCTAAGTGCAGATGGCAGCTTCCATTTAAAGCAGGACTCAGGGCAAATAATATCCTATCCCTTCCAGTGGGGCAACCCCTGCACTGCAATAGTTAAGTGCTCCTGTTATCCAGGGAGTTAAAATACCAGTAATACTGGCAGTCTAAGAACAAGCCAAGCCAGGTAAGTAACTTATTTTAGTTTCCTAGACAAAACGAGCACTTAACCCTTGCAATGAAGGGGTAGCCCTGCTGCAAGGGTTAAGAGTTGACTTGACCAGAGATCTGCCGTTAGGTTTCTCACAGAGGTATTTGATAAACTTTGGTACTTTGATAAACTGCGCAACCTAGTGGGGGAAATAAAATGGGAAAAAACTTATTTCACAACCTAAAACACAAACCAGATGTGGGATTGTTTTAGAAAAACACTACATACTGCTACTTCAAAGTGTATACCTTTAGGGAGCAAAAGATCGAAAACTAAACCTATATGGCTTAATAAAACTGTAAAACAGTGACAACCCTTCAAATGCCTCCACCAGCATCAAACATACAGAGAATATACAGAATAGCACAGCATTCCTACTTTAAGCCAATTTCTCTGGACACAGATGCCCAAATTCCATAGCGTGGATCACCAAGAGTGACCCCTCCCTCAACAACAACATTCCGAACATTTCTAAGGGGAGGGCAACAGGGTAAGAAATAACTTTTTGAAATGTTAACATTTTTTTTTCACACCAACTACATAGATTCATTTGGATACTATCCGTGATATTTGGCATTTACAAAAATACATAAAGTGGGAACTACATAAAGTACATACAAATAAATTACAAAAGCACTCTATTCTTACCACACAGTTTTAATATACAAAATAGTAACCTCCCTGAGCCCAGCATGCGACTGGACAAAGAAAAAAAAAAAAATCATACTGATGAGCTCATAAAATGAATCATCTCTAATGATGTTCAACCTGACAGTGCTGAGTACAGCAACTGAACTCGGAGATCATTTCTTAGGTCATGGAACACAAAAACAGACAAATGTTTTTTTTTCACACGGGTTTCAAATAAAACCATAAGACAACATGCATTGAACCGCAATACAAACTTGTACTGCAACACACATTATGAAGCATGATTTTAATATGTTTCAACCCATCCTGGGTGTCAGGAATTGAAAGGTGTATATGCATCTTAGATGCTTTTTTTAGTAAAGGCTGCTGCTTGTGTTTAAAAACAAACTGTTCAGCAGACAAATACATTAAATTACCACCTAGAAATGAGCCACATTATCTACTGCACAGATGTATTGAAAAGAAACAATAATGCAGGAATATGCAAGTTGATGGAAAATTTCAAAACACATTTACTGACAATTTATGAAAAGCCAAATATTATATTTCTGGTAAGGCTGCAACTAACGATTATTTTCATAATCGATTAATTGGCTGATTTTTTTTCCCGATCAGATAAAAAAAAAAATTAAATATCTTTTATTTAAAACAAAATACCCCAAATGCAGTGTTACAGACAAAGTGCACTTCAGAATAAAACAGCATGCACAATTTTTTGCAGTAGCGTGCATTCCAGTGCGGGAGGATCAGACTGCGGGTGGGAGGTGCATTTGGGGCACCACTGAAATGAATGGCACCACAACGCACATCCTGCAACAGAATTTGTCAGGCCGAAACCGAAAGTGACCTTTTCCCACCTTTTTTATTTTAGTCTTTTTAAAAAAAATATTTGTATGTATTATACAAGACTTTTTAACTAGTTTCATGGATTTAAAGTAATCTGAATTAAAAAACTCCAACCAATGTAATAAAATAACCAAACTTTTATTTAAAAAAAATAAAATTTGACAATACAAATTTTTATTTTTATACATACATTTTATACATATACATTTATATTAGGGATGTCCCGATACCGATGCTGGCATCGGAATCGGGCCCGATACAGGGCATTTTGACAAGTACTTGTACTTGTCAAAATGCCCCGATGCCTAGCGCCGAAGCTTGCGCTGTTTTTTGTTTGTTTTTTTTTTACCTTCCGTGGTGGCTGGGGTCCTCTGGGCAGGCTGGAGGAGCGTTGCGTCACTGCTGTGGGCGGAGCTCCAGGTGGGGTCTAATGTAGATGGCTGGCGACTGCCCAGAGGACTCCTCCTGTAGCTCTGCCCACAGCAGTGACCTTCGTCAAGCCTCTCAGCGCCGCCGATGTCATCCTCGCATGAGGAGAAAAAATCATTCGCCGATCAGGCACAGAGCCCGCATGATCATAGGCCGGGGGAATGACAGCTCAAATGAAGAAATCATTAGTTCTCTATACAGCCGTGTTGAGGGTGTCTTTGTCCAAGCCAAAATGGCCGCCGCCGGCTGGAGACTCAGTCCAGGACAGTTTGTACTCTAGTGTCCAACAAATCACTTCCATTTACTTACAGTGGTCTGTTCTACCCAAAATGGCCACCGCCAGCAAGAGCCCCAGTACAGGAAAGTTTATTCTCTAGTGTCTGGGAAATCTCCTTTATTTACTTGGAGTACATTCTGTCCTACCCAAAATAGCCATCACCTGCCAGAGCCTTAGTTAAGTTCAGATTGGCCTCTAGTGTATGGGAGGTAACCTAGGGGATGGTGGGAGAGGACGGCTGTGTATGAGGGGGAGATAATGGAGGAGCTGGATAGATATATTAGAGGAATCAGAAATGATTTAATGAGGGGGGGGGGACATTTCAGTGTCTGGGGAGAGAGGGATCTGATGAGCCCTCTGAGAAGGAGATATTATACAGGATGGCGGGATGGAGGAGGAGAGGACAGAGTGAGGTCTAGCTTCGGATAAGGCAAGCTCCATTGAACAGGCACCAGTAAGTAAGGGCCTGTGCTGCTGAGATGGCAAGTGGTGTAGTTTTTGCCACTTTGCCAGTATTGTATTTATAATCTGATTGCAAGTACATTTACTTCTTCATATAGAGTATTAGGTTAAATCATGATCTACAGTATACTACATATATAATATGTAGTTGTACTATGGATCATGATTTAACCTAATCATGTTAGCAGGGGAATAGGGGATAATTGAAAAACTCTATTGCTGTAGTGTACTCTATATGTAGTACAGTACTAGCAGAGTATAATTGTAAATGTATTGTCTGCACTGTATAAACAGTATATACTCTATATGTACTACATATAGAGTATATATAGAGTACACACTGCTAATACAGTGCAGACAATACATTTACAATTATACTCTAACATAAATGGATTAAATGATCTGTATGTAGCCCTGTACTAGGGATCATTTAACCCATTCATGTTAGCAGAGGTTAATTGTAAATGTATTGTTGCAGTGCACTCTATATGTACAAGTACTATATACGACATATAGCATGCACTGCGACAATACATTTACAATTCTCCCCTGCTAATATGAATAGGTTAAATCATGATCCATAGTACATAATATGTAGTTGTACTATGGATCATTTAAAGTCACCTGTCCCTTTAAGAAAAAGTATCTGTAATTGGTATCGGCAAGTACATGAGGGTAGGTACTTGGGCCTGAAAAAGTGACATCCCTAATTTATATGTAATTTTATATATGCCCAGTTATCAGTTTAGAGTTAGCCATGAATATTGGCCCGAGAATTATTGCTCTCACTCGACATGTGTAGCACAATTGTCATTTCGTTTGGTATTTAAATTTTTTTTTTTTTCCTTCATTTCTGTCACATGGAAGGGGGGGGGGGTCACTAGCACCCAATGTGATAGCTCAATTGAGAGGACAGGTTCTCTCTAAACATGTAAACATAGCAGGCAGTGGCTTGGAGCAATAGCCAGCCTGCTATTGGCGATTTCAAATTGCATTAGCAGGCTGGCTATTGTATCTGCCCACTGCCTGCTGTCATCAGCAGAGGAGGGAACTGAAGGAGAAAGTTCTCCTTCAGGTCCTCCACTACTGATTGGCAGGAGGCAGTGGGTGCAATAGCCAGCCTGCTATTGGCTACTGAAATTTAAAATAGCCAACAGCAGGCTGTCTATTGCTCCCAGCTGCTAGATAGGAACATGCTGTAAGAGGGGGCACAAAAGGACCAGCGTGGACACGGGGAGGAGCAACAAAAACAAGCACCGGGGACACGTGGAGGAGCGGCAGAGGCACCGGGGGCGCAACAGGGGAATGTAGAGACGCAGCCGTCTCTCCTCCCCGCTGGGCGTCCGGCTGCAGATGCGGACCACAGCACGCAGGGGCTCTCAGTGGTGAGAACGGGGAAGCAGAGCAGTGAAGGGAGAGCGAGTTTTGGAGTTCTCCTCACTGCTGAGCATCGGCTGTAGGAGTCTGTATCCCCTCCCAACCCCACTGGGAGCAGCAGAGATCAGATGGGACACAGAAACAACTAATCAAAAAATCAACTAATTGTTAATAAGAATAGTTGACAACGATTCTCATTATTGATTAAATTGATTAGTTGTTGCAGCCCTAATTTCTAGGTGCTATGATGCCTGGTTCCTGGAATATGTACAGTACTGCAGTAATCATACATAAAAAGCAAACAGGTTTAGAAATTGCTTCTTACCTGTCCCTTAGCTATGAGATATGCAACAATCGACGTATGTCCAAACTGAGCAGCTAAGTGAATACAACTACAGCCTTCTCCATCGATCAACGAGGGGTCAGCACCATACTTCATCAGCTGTACAACCATAGACAGATGACCCTGTCTATAGAGATAATGATGAGTTATACATACTTCATATCCAATGAATACAAAGATCACAGTTATTGTTAAAAACTGTTAGTTTGCTTACACTTGATGTAGCAATATATGATTAGCATGCAATATAACACCACAGTTACAGAAAATAAAAGGGGTCGCCTCTAAACACAAGATGAAATTTTGTTTACTCCTTTTAAAATACATATTACATCAGCATGCAGCTCTGAATGCTGATATGAAATCATCTTACATTCATTGAACATTTTTTGATTTTACAAACAAATTACTGTTTTTCCAATTTCCAATGTTTGTATCAGAACAAGTGGACTGTCATGAGGGACAAGTAGAATTGACTGCACATTTTGCACATGACTGCTCAAGTTCTTGGAGAAGTAGTTTTTTTTTTTTTAAATTATTATTATTATTTCCGCAACCATGGATAGAGTTGGGCCAATCTCCAAACACCACCACTGTCACACAAGTCAAATGTTCCCCCACAGCTGGATGTGATGATTACTCCCAAAACTCCCTGACAACTCAACAGTAGAGCGGGGGAGCAAAGTATAGGGGAGAATGTGCTGCTAGGGGACCACGCTTGAAGAGAAAGCAAAGCACAGATGTAGATTAATTTTTTAGCAAATGACCAAATTTCTCTCTTCTGTATAAGCATTAGCACCTACATAAATGTTAGTTTTAAAAAGTGAAAAGTTGAACAGTTTGAGCACCTTTAGATACAAACTTTTCACATTAGAATTCTTTTGATTGTTTGTTGACACTTGCATGGAGTAGTTGATGCATGACATGGACATTAAAAATAGAGCTGCCAGGGACATTGTAATTCACACCACTGTGTGTGGAGCACTGTTTAACACTTTAACTGATGATTTCTGAAATCTACAGGTTTTATTTTCCATGTATTTGTGAAGCACATTCCATCCACTCAGCAAAACAGAGTTCAACCTGGCACATGAAATGTGTTGAGCAAAAGGTTTCTTAAAATATTCTGAAATATTCTGTTTGTTTCCACAAGCTGGAATCTTACCTTGTTGCCCAATGCAGAGGAGTCGAATTTAAATCCCCTCCAAGTTGGTCTACTACAGCACCTTTTGATATGTAGAACCTAGAAGCAAATAACATAAAAATGGCCTTAAGATACAACATAAACATACTTTATTCATTTTATGTGTATACAAAGATGGGTTCCAGGGCAAATGAAGGTGAGAACATGTCATGTACAATATAAAATGATTACACAGGAAACATTTAATATTTTGTGTGTTGGCAGGACAAATTCCAGGAGCCAGGTAACAAATCTTTAACGACACCGATGAGGAGAAAAACATGGAGGCTGACACGGTTGAACTTTCTTGAAAAAAAAAATCAGATGCCTGGCTGGCATGGCAATTGCCGCATTTCAAAACCTTGGAAAGCTGAATTAACTCAAGAGCAAGCAAGCAGATAAGGACTTTTAATCTGTTTATTTGTTCCAAAGCAGTTAGGTTTGATTCACGCCACTGCGTTTTTTGCAAGATGCGTTATGAATTGAAATCAATGGAAACACATCAAAACACATGTGCTGACATTCAATGGAAATACATTGCACCGATTCTTTTTTAATGAGAAAACGTATTAGGTGAAAAGACTCAATTGTGTGAATTCAGCCTCAAGTCAGCAAAAACTTTAGTATGCCAAAACAGCCAGGCAACTAATATTTTCAGAAGTAGTGAAAGGCTTCCGCTGCACACACAGGACAGACTCATTTAAATAAAACATTTTTTAAAAAGAACACGCAAGTAGTTTGTTTTTTATTCACAGATTTAGGTGTGCACTTCAATAAGCCCAAAAGTAGGGCTATATTAAATGTTAAAGGGTTAAGTTAACAAACTAGGTGTCAGGGGAAACAGGAGATATGTCAATTAAGAATATATATTGCATAGGCATTGTAATAGTTGTATAGGATTAATTGATTATTGATTTTTCTTTTTTGTATGATGGATTTAGCTGCTGGTGGCTTTGTTTTGTGCTATTCCTAAATATGTGGTGCTCTTTAATGTGTCTTGTGGATTTTGTACTTGAAAAATAATAAAAACATAACACTGAATTTATGACGGGGGTTGGTGGTTCTCCCTGCCTGCTCCAATAGCGTAAATCCGTCATCTGCTGACATTCTGTTCACTCTGATAGGAAAGGGTAACCTGTGAGATGATGTGTAGGGACCTATGGCAGCTCAGCCCGCCATCAGCCAAGCCATCCCTGATCTGTAAACCTGATATCTCAGATGCACACACCTTGTCAGAGAGGACAAAGCCAGAACAAGACAGTGCTGCGCTATTAAGGCAGGTCAGGACGTGCCATATCCGTGGGTTTATGCAACTCCTGATGTAAAAGAACGTGAACATAAGACTTCAAAATTAATTTGAGGGTAAAGAGGTTGTTTACATTAAAAACAAAATCCTCAGATAAAATTGTTGGCCCCCTTTGAGGAATGGAACATTAACCTAAAATACAGGTTCTCAACCAGGACCACAAAACAGCACCCCATAACAATTTAAGTATTTACCATCAATAAATTAAATACAGAACAGAAAAGACATACACAATTATAGGGGATGACTAATAACTGCTGACAAGACAAATACCTTAAATACATTAGATAAAACCACCTACACGGCAAGGGCTATATGGTAGACATCTACTTTTAAATAAGGGGCTGAATGTCATTGCTTGGGATGGGCTTCCCAGTGGTGACAAAATGTGGAAGAGCTTGTTCAATGAGCATCAGAACTTAATAAACTAGCATCTCTCAGACTAGTGTAGTAGTAGGCATGTGTTGTTGTGGCCTTTTGTTTTTTTGAATGACCTCTGCAGCTGCTGTCATTCACAAGAAAACAAGGTCCACAGGTTGACAGTCTCCTCCGAAATAGCAGTACGGTCTGGGCTCAGTGAAGCTAGCGTTTTTATGTACATGTAAGGGAGCAGGAGGCGACACAGGCAGAGATACAATAGTGCGAGGTGGACTGCAAAATTAAATGGGGGTGGGGGCTTCAGTGCTGGCTGAATCTCCCCTCTATGAATGCCCAAAGTTTGGGCTTCAGCCTGGGGAGGAGCTACAGCCAGCAGGGACAGTAATAGAAACAGTGGTCAGATTTGAATGGGGACAAGTGTGTGTGCACTGAGTCCTCTGGGGATTTAATAAGCATTTTATACTTGAGGCGATACTTCTTCTTTATGAAATACAAAGTACTATAAAAGAGAAAACACTCTACCACCTCTGTACAAGTGGGAGAACGTTAACAGGAGCTTTAAACGTGAAATGTATATGGGGGAGGTAATACAAAGTACAATTAAAAAAAAAAAAGGGCAGGAAAAAAGTATTTCAAACACTTGATTGGTTGCTGTGGGTTGCTCCATTAAAGAAGGCCGTCAACAATCCCCAGCCAAGCAAACAAATAAAAATACTGTTTAAAAGTCAATTCAACATAGTTGACTTGAGTAGATTTGTTGCAACCAGGCTGCTTCATTTCATTAATGTAATTCAGTTGCTGCAGCTCTTCTCTGTGAACACCACTAATCACTTTTAATGACATAACCAGGAGCATACAATTAATCTCAGATTCCTGCATCAAATTCCTAGATTTGAATCATTTTTACAAAAACTGCCTGTTACGGTGAATCAGGTTCCAGGCTAAGCTGCCTGTAAATAGCTTATCGCAGATTCTATATAGACATCAGGGGGCTACATAGCTGTCGCCATGCAGTCTGCCGACAGACCGTGTTCAGTGTGGACATGACATGGGCACTTTCCTAGCTGAGCTAGTGACAAGGATGCCTTTTTTTGATGCGATACTTACTTCACCAGATCTATCCTATTATTGATGGCAGCCCAGTGAAGCAGAGTAACATTCTCTTTGTCAGGCTGTCGCACATCATAGCCTGCTTCCACCAGCTCTCTGCAGCGCTCATAGATTCCATACCTTAAAACAAAAACAAGGATTAAGAACAAAAACAATAAAAAGACTGTTTACTGTAATGCCCAATAGTTATGGTACACCCTAAGTGGGCAGATCTGTCACCAAGAATGACAAGTGTCTGAGCTTCAGTGGATCATAGATCCTCAGGGCTATACTTAACAATTCATATGAAGTTTGGAAGCAACATAAATGAGGTAAAATGATCATGATTTTAAAATGCATAGAAGGGAACTATGGCAGATTAAACTTGGACTTTCCAACATGATGAGCAATTCCTGAACTCACAAGTATTAGTTATTGCTCTAAAGTCAAAATGGAGCCTTAGGCAAAAGACAAATCTACCCATCTATGCATGCATTCAAAAATCAAAAAATGTTTTTCAAACTTGCCTAATATAAATACTTTTAGTTCATTTTAAAGTGGAACTCCCACAAAACAGGGGAGAAATGCACAGTCAATATACATAAACATTTTCATTGTGTTCAATCTGGTTATTTTTACACACCCCTGCCACACTGGAAATTCAAGAAGGTAACTCCAGTATTAATTAGTACAATTACCAGGTATGTTGGTTTTAGGTTTTTAATTTGTTCTGATTACATATATGCCATTTAGTTTTATGTATACAATTTGCCACACACACACTGTACAGTACTATTGTGCCAGCAAGGAGATTGAAAATAGTGTGTTTTATCTATGTAGGTTATTTAACCTACAAAATGGAGCAGGAACTAGAGTTTAAAAACCCCTGGTACAACAAAACAGGTCAATATATAATTTTTAGAAAAATGTAGGCTGACATTTTTTTACCTTGTTCTGAAAAAGCTAGCTATCTAATGCTTCATTTAAAGATTCTAAAAAAAAAAACCCAAAGAAAAAGCAAATATGACTTCATATTCACAGAAGGCAAACAGAAAGACAGTTAGCAAACAAACCATAAATTGTATCTTTCGGTGTCTAAGTGATTTTACAAATGAAGCAGATGTAGCACTTTGGTGTGTTCGCCTAATGCGCTCTGAACTGGACATAGCTGTAGACAGCATTATTTTTCTGCATCCAAGGGCATACAGGTTATTAGAGATGACAAAAAGCTTTGAAGACAGAGAGAAAGATCAGTGTATCAAAAGGGAAATAAAGGGAAACTCTGCTGTATTTATTCTTTACAATAGGTACCAGTCAATACAAATTTAGATTTTGTTGTAACATTTACGAGCATGTAAGCCGATCATCCAATCAATCTCTATATAATTTTTTGGTTATTTGTACAGAATCTTTACCGAAAGATTTAATACTGGCTGCTTCCGTGACACCTTCAGAGCTTGAAAGAGGACTTTCTAATAGGTCATCCTAGCACTGTCTGCTCATTTGTTGAGAGCTTCTGTTTAATTGTAAGCCCATAGGTGTCCATATCTGTTAGCAAAGACGGAGGGGAAGGCTAGCATACCACCACCTTTGCTCAGTGAAGAGCTGGAGAGTATTATTTGAACATAAGAAAACAAACACACAAAAATATTATCCACTTAAGACTTACTGTGTGGCTTTAACGATATCCCATGTACTGTAGTCATCTATGTGACTTTTCCGACCAACAGATTCACTGGTATATCCATGATTATAATGACCCTGAGACTTTATTTCCTGTTAGAAAAAATATATATATATATTATTACTATGCATAGCACATGGCGACAAGCTTAAAATGTGGAAGGTAAATTTTTCTGATATGTACAACTCATACATTGGATTTTCCCACTTCTTAGGGGTTCCGAGTTCCCATATGCCAAAACCATGTTTGTCTACACTTGCCAGGTTCCCCGGTCACATTTCCTTCCTGTACTCCTATTTAGGCAACTGGCACAGAGGTTTGAGTTGTCTAGATGTCTTACTTTATCTGGAGGATTGGGGGGAAATCAATTTGCAAGAAATGAGGGACCAAATGAATATGATGTTAATCAATGAAAAATGTTTTGCATTCTTCTTTATTCCAAAATCAAGTTTCTGAAAATTTGGGAACCTTGGCTTTCCTACCCTCTTTGAATTCATTTGAATTCCTCTAGTTTGGGCTACTTTAGATTTGTATTTTCACTTTAATTTCAGGCCAGGGCAGTCCTCTTTCTTTTTTCTCTTTTTGATATCCACTTGGGCTGGTCTCAGCGTCTACTTATCTCCCTCTTTTCTTCGTTTTGTTCCCCTTCTGATACTGGTTCTCCTACTCCTTTAATCACTCTTTCCTGTTTCAGTTCTATTTTGTTTTTGCCGCACACAAGTCTCCCCATTTGCCGACTGGACATGCCTACAAATGGTTTGCCCTCCATTCATGGGATTAGCCAGCCCTTCTATTTTAACAGAATTGCTTTTAGATGGAATATAGTCCGATTTTTCTGTTCTTATTAAAAAGGAGAACTATGGGGTTAAGTCTTTTCCCCATAGTTCTCCTTAGGGTAACAGGAGGACACAAACTAGCGTCCTCCTGTCACCCCAGGCTCAGTATACAGCGAGCTGTATACTGAAACGCTGCAGCTGCTCGCGGTATACTGAGACGCTGCAGCTGAAGCGGATCCCGACAATTGTGCCGGGATCCGCCCAGCTGCGTGACTGACAGCTGGCTCTGCCTATAGTGTGGGTTGTTCTATTTTTGAAACGTTTAGGAAACCAATACAAATTATTGCAATGAAAATATAAAAGGACAGGTACAGTAGATGTGGTGCAACATATAAATACAACAAACAAAAGGCAGCTTGATAACATATCAGCCCCAGAATGGAGGTGAAGCTACTGACCATGCGTGAATCACCCCTTTCAAAGTAGTAATAAACCTTTAAGTGATCAAACACTCCACTGGTATTGAATTCTATTGAATTTGTTGCAAAGCTTCAAATAGCAAAATAAATGTAATAATACCTCTTGGTTAAGGTTTCCCCTGCAGTTGCAAACACAGAGCGGGAAGTGGGCGTATAACTTAACCCCATACGTCACTGCTGTTCAACAGGCAGTACTGCCACCTCCTGAATGTATTTTTTTCTTAAAAATCAAAATGGGGATTTTCTACTTTAATACTGTGCTGCAACCACATACGCATGCGGTTGTGGCGCAGTTCCACGGATTTCAGTAATCGCACTTGGTAAGTGTTTGGCAGGTGTTTAAAATTTGTTGTGGCTTTGACACGACACAAAACATCACAGCACCGACATGTGTACAAGCATGAGCAGTCACTATATTATGTTTCAGGTGAGCGGCCTGGAGGTGGTAAAAATGTGGATCAACTGCCTGTTTTTACTGCCCCATGGTTATCCGTGTGAATGGTCTAGGGTAGCTGCACTCTATGTAGGAGAAACAGAGGCACCCTTAGACAGCAGCATTGTCACCCTGTGGAGAAGGTAGTGTAAAGCTGCTAATACACCCGACGATAATCGTACGATAATCACGGGTGATCCTGTGATCGTACGATAATCCTAAGGTGTATGGGCAGTGTGCGACTGCATTTACTGTGCAGTCTTACGAGCACGCTAGAAAATTAAGCTTTTTTGTTGCGATCGCGCTACCAACCCTCCGAAAATCGAACAATTTTGGCGGGTTGGTAGCGCGATCGCAAGACGAAAGCTGCACGGGCCGAGGTGTGCAATCGCACACTACCCGCTCACCATTGCAATCATCTGTAAGCCCTCCCCTCAGCGGGGAGGACTTGCGATGATCGCAAGTAGGATCTGCCTGTCCAAGATGGGCAGGTTGTACGAACTTTAAATCACCTAACAACCATCGCACAACGAAAGTCGTGCGATGGTTGTAAAGTGTATGGCCACCTTTAGATGTACTAGATTTAGACGGATTTGACTATTATTAAATTAAATCTGAACTCCAGAAAACACTTAAGCAGTTAGAACAGTTTTTTTCTCTCTTTTGGGATAAAGGTTTTAAATAAATGAATAAAAGCTGACCATTGTAAGCACCCCTGTCATTGTTAAATAGTTTGTATCAACCCTCTCCCTATCTGCCACTTTTTCTAGACTACTCAGTTGGTTTAAAAGGAAGTTGAAAAATAAAAAAAACTGGTCAGATCACAAAGGGAAGACAAAAGAAAAAAAAACAACACCACACACAACAACCTTAAAAATAGAAAACGAATGAAGCCACCACATATAAAGACTGGAAAGCTGCAATATGCTACATTTTTGCATTTGGGATTAGATACGCTTAGGTATACTATTGCTACTCATTTCTGGTTGTTACCTCTTGTTGAATTGGAAGCTCCGTTGTCAACACTTTAAGGCCTGGTTCACACCTGTACGTTTTGTAGCGCGTTCAACGCTCTACAAAACGCTCAAACATGAAAATCCCATTGTTTTCTATGGGTATGGTTCACACCTTGCCGTATTTCAGCCCGTCTGAACGCGCTACAAAACGGCCTACGCCTGAAAAGGTACATGAGCTTCTTTGCGGCGTTTTTGTCGCGTGTTTCCATTAGGATACAGCCAAGTATCCCTTGGAAACGCGCGTTTGTCGCGCGTTTGTAAAAAAAACGCAATCGTTGTAAAAACGCACGTTATGAAACGCGCGACAAACGCACATATTCGATACGTGTGAACAGAGCCTAATCTCATCTATACAGAGGTCAGTCAGGCACACAAAACAACTACTACTTAGATATAGCTTAACGTGCAGTTTGTAGTACATAAAAGCTAGAAAAGCACAGCCTATAGGCAATTCACAGTCAAAAATAGGTTTAGTGTTTTAATTCCCTGCTCAAGGTTTGGGTTTATTACAAGTAGGCAAATGGCTCCTTCTTGTGGCTTCACTGCATTTCTTGAACTACTGGTTCCAGTTGTCCTTGCAGCTAAATAATCAGATTAGCATGCATGGGCCCATGTTACTGCCCAGACTCTTCGGGAGGAATTAACAAAAGGGAAATACATCAGTTTTGTGGTGTAAATATTGCTGCGTTTTCCGTGCACCAAATTAGCAATGTTAAAGTGCTATGCAACAATTTCCATAGGACCAAATGGCCGATTGCATGTGCCAAGAATATTAACTACAAGCACCCACCCAGCTTTGGGTTTTTGCGGTAAGGAGTGTAGCAAGATATTCTGTCTATATAAGAATATTAAAGCGACACTGGGAGTTAAATCTTAAAAATGTATTTAAGTACCTTTACTATTAACAAATTGTACCCTATTTGTATATCACTCAGCTGAAGATCCTCAAATCTCCTCTAAATTCAGGCCCGAAGCTCTTCTTCCTTCTGGAGGGTGGCTACTTTTGTTCCCCATGTGTGTGTTGTAAAGTAGCCACCGCTCCAAGATCGCTTCCGTGATAGACTAAAATTTCAGCTTTAGTTTACCAATTTGCATTGAGATTGTAGTGCGTCACAGGAGCAAGCTTGGAGCGGTGGCTACTTTACAGCACACACAAGGACCATGGGGAACAAAAGTAGCCACCCTCCAGAAGGAAGGAGTGATACATTTTTGTTAATAGTTAGGGTACTTGAATGTATTTTTAGGATTTAACTCCTGCGTTTGATGTCACTTTAAGTATTCACACCAATGTTTTGATTCAAAAACAATTTAAAATATACAAGATTACCAGAGTGGTGTAAATACTGTAGAGAGGGACAACAGTGACGATTAGCACTGCAGCATGGAGAGCAATAGGGGATTTGTAGTGCTGGCCAGCAAGGAATGGGAGGAAAAGGAGAACATTTTGAATGATTAGAGCAGAAGAATACCTCAAATTTGCTCCAAAATGTTATAACACACTGGAGTAAACACACTCAAATTTGGCGCACTACCACCATGATGTGGCAAATGAACAAACTGAAGTGTTACTTTGTCACAGGAAGCGCTAATTAAGCAAACATATTGAAAATGTTTCAAGCATGCGCCATTCTTCGTTAATCCCCACTTCTTGTGTCAGGGGACTTCATTGGGAATAAACAATGCCCCAGGGTTGATGAGCAGCGGGAGTAAAAAAAATGACCTAGCTCCTGCGGTTAATGGTAGGAGGAATAGTCCCCCTCCTTGGTATTGGTGGGAAGAAAAGTGCCCCAAGGGCCAGTTAAAGGGAAGTAAATAGCTGCAATGGGCCGGCAGGCCACAGTTTGGGGACACGTGGCTTAGAGGAACCATGGACGATGACATGGGCACAGGACATAAAAATGATAATGCCTATCTGTATCCTCTTTAATTACATGGGATGTACACTTTGAATTTCCTAGCCTTCTATTTCTTGGTCACAATATAACCCAACTATGCTGTTCCTTTAGCCAAAGCTAGGGAATAAAACAGTAAATCCTAGGAGCCAGGTAGCCAATGTTGCAGCTAGTACCTAACTTTGGAGGTTTGCTCCAGTCATTGTCAAGGGAGCTGACTCCGAAAAAAAAAACATCATGCTGGCTCCTGGATTCTATATTAATTTGTCCACCCTTGGGAGTAAAACAATATATATTTAGGAGGGGGGAAAAAAACAGAAACAGATGAACAGTTCCGGGCACAAACATGATTAGAAAGGAAATAAAATAAAGAGCAAGGCTTACACAAAAAGCATTAGTCTGAGCTATGCCTTCAGAATGTGGGTCACTTTGATTTGATGCATGTGATCCGATTCATTCAGATCTTATTTGCATGGATATTACAGTATTACAGTTC